GAGCTGCTATAAAAACATGTATTGCTCCAGCACTGAGATTGTAGCCGTCATATTTTTACTGCGATTTACAATATGAATGGACTACTAAAGGTAACACCTGCAGTGTGCAAACCCAACTCCAGGCACATGACAGAAAACCCCTTGCAGTGTGGCCCCCTGCACCTCAAGGTTTAACTGCTGGTTAAGAGTAGGGGTGCAGGGCTAAGGATTAATATTAACCCTATTCCACGCTCTGATAGGCTCCCTCCATCCATGCGACCAGTCCACTGTAGCCTCCTCTGTCAGGTACTCCCAGCCACAGTCACACACTCGCCTCCTCCACGGGCAATGATTATGCAAAGTGAATGCCCTCAGCGTTGGGGAGAAGAGGAGAGCGCTGGAGCCTGCGGGAGTTTGGGGGGTAAGGCAAGTAATCTCACCTCTACTGGTACCCCTTAGACTTACAGGGTTATTTACTAAAGGGTGAAGAGTTTGGAGAAGGCAGGAGAGGTGAACAATCCAGGACAAAATAGCTGAACTGGAAAAATTCCCCTAATTCAGCTCACTTTCCAGTTCAGCTCTGCTGTCCTAGATTGTTCCCTTCTCCTGTCTTCTCCAAACTCCTCACCCTTTTGTGAATAACCCTGCTAATCGTCATTTACCTTGCAGTGCCCCAAACCCCCCCACCCCCACCCCCGCAAGGGTATTGTGCCCAGACTTGGCCTTTTAGCACATGAGGCCCACAAAGCAAGTTATGTTTATTTTACATAGCTCACTGAACACTTACAAGGTAAACTCTGGCTACCTTTAGGCTATGTTAATAACATAGTGGTAAGAAGTATTGCATTTATGTACCCGTGTGTCATCCTCAAAACACAACAAATGCAGATGCAGACAATAGGTCAAGCAGTGACGTGTGGTACCTCTTGCTCTGGGTGAGGCATTCCAGAGCCCCGCCCCTGTCGACCGAAGCCCCACCCCCAATCTAGTGTAAAGGAGGAGACAGGGAGGATGCTCCCTGTCCCTTACTTGCTCCTCACTGCTGAGGCGCTCCGTCCATGACAGGTTAGACAGCGGGGAGGATATACCTGCTGTGTAACCTGTTAGATGACGATCTGAATGGAGAAAAAGCGGTCAGCTTCAGACATGAAGCTGACCGCTTTTTCCTCCATAATTCTAGGTGAGGCTCTGCCTCACCTGACTAAACGTCCCTGGTATAATGGGCCCTAACGGTCTATATTTTAAATCATGGAATATATTGCTATCCAGCTTGCAGCATGATTTTCACCTCAGATTTACCTAGCAGATCGAACATAAGTCAATGTCTTTACCTCTGTTAAGTCAGACTAAGTAGTGTTCAGCTCTGGTGAAGATCAAGCCATAAGTGGGAGACCCATATTTTTCTCAGCACAGGTATCCTTAAAGCTGAACTCCAAGATAAGCAAATATTGTCTAAATACAAGAAACGTGTATTCTTAGTTGAATCTTGGTGTGCTTTGTGTATTTCTTCCAGATCTGTGCAGTAATCCAGAGTGAAACTTTGCCTCTATGCAGGAGCTTCCTGGAAAAAGAAACGGTGACTGCTGCTCTCTCTCTCTTCTTGTGCAGGGTGACTGGCCTCGTCTCCGCCCCCTCCTGTAGTTTTCTGCAGGCAGCCTGTAGTTGGTGGAGCCTGCTGTGTCCCACAGTCCAAAGTGTAGCCCAGAGATGATGTCAATGCCAATTTTCCAAGGTAATAACTGTATTTGAAAAGGAATTTGGCGCACACAAAGTGGCTATTAAGGAATATATTTATATGAAGGTTTTTGTGCCTGGAGATCAGCTTTAAAGGAACCCCCCTTTCCCCACTACAACTCTGCAACCTGAAAAGTGCTGCAGAAACAGGGGCTCCATTCAATAATAGTTCTCTGCCTGGTCATAGGGGACAGATGTTCAGACAGAGACACACAAAAGCCCTATATCAAGGTGGGCAACTCTGCCCCTCAGCTGTTGTGGAACTACATATCTAATGAGGCATTGCAAGCCTGACAGTTACAGACATGACTCCAAGAGGCATATTGGGATTTGTAGTTAAAGCACAGCTGGAGGGCTAGAGTTGCCCACCCCTCTGTATATGAACTCTATTCTCCACTTCAGCACAAGTCATGAGACCAGTGCTGTGTTATAAGAAAGATTCCAGAGCTGAACTTTCTGCAATATAGGCACTCTTGGATGCTGGTGCCAGCCAACAGCCCTTTGCCGAACCCTTGCATGCAGTAGTCAGTGTTTCCTTACCCCTGAGATTACTCAGGCTAAAGAAGGAAAAATAAATATCCTTTAGGGCTAGTTCACACCAGCCACAGTGAATTGCACTGGATTGCATTCCGGTCTGCTCACTTTGCTTTGGGGCAGGAAGGGGCGTGGCGGTGCATTGAAGTCAATAGCACCACAGCCGCACCCTCCAGCCGCAATGCAGCGCCCGCACCAGATTGCCGATCGGGCCGGAAACGCACTGTGGCCGGTGTGAGTTATCCCTTAGACTGGGTTCTAGTAGTTAAATGATTTGGTTTACATATTTCACACGCTCTCTCTTTGTTCTGTGCTGTTTTTTTGCCTCTAAACTTTTATGATTGATCTTGTTGTGGCATAAATATTTTTTCAAGTGGACTGTATGGAACACAAAAGTGGAAGCATGGATTTTTATAAAGGGGCTGTAAAAGAAGGGATCTCTAGCAGTCTCATGTAACGTGGCTGCAGTCAATGACAGTCTCTTAAAAGAGAACTAAAGCCAAACCTTTTCTTTTTTTTGGGCAGTTACATTTACTAAGTTAGCTGATAGAGGGCTACCGCCTTGCAATATGTGACAGCTGGGAAAGATCCCGATGGATCCAACCCATTGCCTGATTGACAACTCACTCTGCCTCTCTAGAGGAAGAGCCAGCTGTGCCCACCCCCACTGTCTGTCCTTCCAATAAGCACCGGGGGAACAGAAAGAGACTGACAGTCACTACCCTATGCATGGAGAAGCCATGACCTGAGTGATCAGTGGTTTGTGATCACTCAGTTCTTGATCTATAGTGTCACACGCCGGCTCTACGCATCATGAAGAGTACATTTTACTCTCCCAATACTTCTAATTTAAGTGTTTCCCCAGTCTACATGATAGCATGGTCACAGTCTCTGATCATCTCCTGCATCATGTCTGCAGTCTCTGGCATTTTTCTGTATTATTACATTTACTGAATATTATGTGTGGTCATGCGTTGATGTCAGGAGCCACACTTGGGGCCCCCTAAATCAACATAGTGGATCACCTATCTAAGAGCTGGCAGCAGGGGCACCCCTATTATGTAAATACCAATTTTAGTTTCTAAAATCAGGTTCTGTTTTAGTTGTGTAGTCCTCTGTGGCTTCTGCGTCTCCCAAGGCTTACATCATCTTTTGTACCATCACAAATCTGCCATGCCCCTCAATTCTGTTGTTATATTGCTGTATTGTACATTCTGCTCCCATTTCATGCAATTAGCTTCTGCTGTGACCTTATTTTGTGAAAGAAGACTGAAGAGAATGCAGATGATACAGCAGTGTAAAAGAAAACGCAAGTTCTGTCCTGCTTCCTCCTGCACACTGCTATTGATCAATCACTGCAATGAACATCTCCACTGCATAATCCCCATATCATCATATGTCTACATTCTGAATGTTATACTTGTAGTATTTTTAGATGGCCTTCATGACTGACAAGTGATTACTGGAAATCTTTGGGGGCTGTGGAAGTGTGTTCCCACTGCCGCCAATTACAGCTGTGGCAGCTATAGCCCGTGACCATGGATAATGGAGTAAAGATATCGAAGAGTTTCTTACATAGATATGGTCTTCATTTTTTTTTTTGTTAATTTTCGCTAGAACTTTAAAACTTTTCACAAGACAAATCATATAACAGAGAAAAATAGTGCAAAGCGTCTTACATAGAAAAATACTGGCCATCATACAGCATGCGTTCAGCAGCAAGCAATGTACAGACACCATCGATGGTATACTTTTATAAGGTATAAAAAAAAAATATGAATGGTTTGTTTTACCCTGCAATTTTTTTTCCTAATTTAAATTAAAGTGGAATTGGGCTGAATCTTGATTAACAAGGTCATATAGTTACACAGAACCTGTGAGATGCCTTCCTGATGCATCTGACGTTAGCTAGACGATAACTGCAGAATTCCAAGATTAGGTGGAGAAATAATCTTCTATTTCTATAGCACACTTCTCCCTGGGGACTGAACGTTATATTAAAGTCAAACGATTTTTAAGCTATTTCAAATGCGGATGAAAATCACTCACAATGGATGCTGCTCCTTGATGTTTAAAAGTTTTAGTTTCCTTCAGAATCAGCTGGTCCCCTGAGCACTGGCCATGATATCCTAATTTAGGGTGGCTCCTTTCCTTTGCAGGGCTGTATGGAGCCACCCTTCTGTAAAGTAAGGCGTGTGCTTCTCCACAAAGTCACTCTACCCTTCCCCACTCTTCTATTCTCCAAGCTAGTAGATAGATAGACAGCTTCTGGCGCTCGGACATGTGTTCAGAAACATGAGTTCAATGCTACTTGGGCATCCATCTTGGGCATGCTCAGTTGAGCCAATCAACCTACCTGCATGTATTTGGAGTGTGGAGGGAAACCAGAGTGCTCAGAAGAAACCCACGTAAGCACAGGGAGGACATGCAAACTCCATGCAAATAGTCTCCTGGTGAAGATTTAAAGAGAGACCAGAGGCGCAGAGGTGCTAAAAACTGAGCCACGGTGCTGCCCCTACCATACTTTTTTTTTCTGCTTTGTTCTTTAATAATACAAAATTCATGGCCTTTGCTTTAGTACTAGGCTTCCTATAATAAGTATAAAATCATACTTAGATGACAAAGTAGCCAGTGCTTTAGTACACAAAGAAACACTTTCATGCTCCAGCTTGTAGATTTGTACATTCATTTCGTACACTGCTTGAACAGACTTTCTGCACATGTATATCATACACAATGACTGCACCCACACAATCTTGAAATGCATTTGAAATTTGTGCTCAATCAGAGCAAGCAAGAAACTAGATGGGATGGTTAAAAGCATAAAAACTGCAGACTAGAATTTGTGATAACTGCCATCAGCTTGAACATGAGCATATAATCAGGAGGCAGTGCATTTTGTTCCTAACCATGTATCAGCCCGGATTTTCCTTAATGTAATGGAAATGAATAGGACTAGTGGAGTTCATGGATGGGCGGAGCCATGCCATGCATTTCATGTCCTTTTAGCCGGCTTGGCTGTTAATTGCTTTTCTCTCTCAAGCTCGCGCTCACGTTGCTGTTCTTGCTTAAGATTTTCCTCCTGTTTTTTCTGCTGCAACTTTAGTGCTCGCCTCTAAAAACAAAAGAAGAAACACATCAGTAACTGTTACATGAAAACAGAGGCTATCACAGTCTAAAGCAGAGGTGGGAAACTCCAACCCTCCAGCTGTGCTTTATCTACTTTAATAATACAAAATTATTATTATTATTATCTGGGAGTCATGTCTGTAACTGTCAGTCTTGCAATGCTTCATGGGACTTGTAGTTCAACAACAGGTGGAGGGTCGGAGTTGCCCATCCCTGGTGTAAAGGGATACTGCAAACATATGTGAACACGTGTACTGAATCATTGGCTTGCCCTTGTTATACTTCTCAGAGACTTTAGCAATGACATGATCCTGTGAAAATTTACAAACCCTCCCCCATCACTGCACCCACTACAAAACCACTACAAAACCACACAAAGGGGTCTCATACTGTATTTGCAGTACTGGTGTGGTAGATGGGTAGACATGGGCAGACAGGTGAAGAAATATTGCCAGTGGTGTCCCCAAGCAAAGTTAGGTCCTCTTTTGGGAATCTTCGTTAACCACCTGAGTACCAGCCGGAATTTACCCCTTCATTAACAGGGCATTTTTCAGTGCTGTGATAGTTTGACTGACAATTACTTGATCATGCAACACTGTCCCCAAGTAACGTTTATATGGAGCTGAAGCTCTTTCTTTAGGTGGTATTTAATAGTTACATAGTTATCCAGGTTGAAAAAAAAGACACAAGTCCATCGAGATTAACCTATAGAGATAAGAAAAACCATTGGGTTTTTTTATTTGATATTTTACTAGTTAAAGCAAAACAAAGAGCACAATTTGGGGTTTGCTTACATTTAACTTTCTTTACTTAAAAAAAAAGACCCCACAATTACTGGTGTGGTCAAACGCCCTCTTCGCCCCCCCCCACCCCCCCTCTTCCTTTTACAAAACAATCCCACAATCATTTGTGGCCAATAGCACTTTACTCCCCACTTTCTTCCCCAAAACAAATTCCACAATCATTGGCGGTCAATAGCACTTTAACTTATACCTTTTTTAAAAAAAAGCAAAACCATCACCATTAGTGGTTAGTGGCACCACACACCGTTACTTTTGATCTGCCGGTCCTCTTTCCTGTGTTATAAGTATTCAGCCCATTCATAATGGAGTAAGGGAAGCTTCCTCCATCATGAAAGGGTTCAATGTTTGTAAACAGTACTATTGTTTACACTTGTGATGGCTGTGATTGGTTCACAGTGATCACAAGGTACAGAGATACTCTTGCACTGTGATCCGAGGTGTCCAATGACAGCTTAGATCACAGCCATTCATGGGTGCACTGGCTGCCCAAGTGTGTTTTCTGAAGCACCCCTTTTAAACTGCACTCCAGAAATACACATCCACCTCCCCACCATTTTTTTTTTTTTTACAATACAGCCGGAGGTAGTTAAAGGGCAAGTACAATTTCAAACAATTTATACTTACTCTTTTTGCCCTCCCCCTATTGACCTTAACTTGAGTATGCTGACAGCAAGACCTTTATCAACTCCGTACTGAAGAAATCACAAAAGTAGCAGCAATTTAATCCTTAGAGCTTGGGAAATAAGTAGACCTAAGATTAGATGTCTCTTCAGGAGCCCCCAAAAGCACAGCACGCTAGATGTGCTCACATATACTCTGAATTAATGACTAATGTTCAAGGAGCTGAGAAACGTCCAGGCAGCTCAGTGACACAGACGCCATACTTCACTCAGACAGTTTAGTAAAAGATGCAAGCACAGTTGGAGTGTGTGCTCCCGAGGGCTCCTGAAGTGACACATCTGAATGGGGGCTGGCATTTTTTCATGCAGTGTTGGGAAGGATAAATGGGGCTATAGACCATTTCTGCACATAGTTTCAGTTCAACATTAATAATCACACTACACACAAATCAAAAGGCACACAGCAACATTACCCAAAAACATATTTTTTAGCGAAAAGTGGACATCTTTCAATTACGCCACCAAGATACTAACAAGCGAGTACATACAAGATACTGACTTGTATATCTCGCTTTGACTATTGCAACTCCCTCCTGGTTGGCTTCTCTTTACACAGGCTACCCCCCTTCAGACTTGAATCCATTAATTCTGCTGCCAGACTCAATACCCTTGCAAACCACTCAATAACCTTGCAAACCACTCAATGTCTGCAACTTCTCTCTGCCAATCTCTTCACTGGCTTTTGCTAGCACAACATAAAATCCAAAATACTAACAACATACAAAATCGTCTTCACCTTCCCCCAATTACATCACCAACCTCATCTCAAAATGCCACTCAAACCGACCATCCTCTTCGTTCCTCCCAGGACCTCCTGCTCTCTAGCTTCCCCATCACCTTGTCCAATGCCAGCATCCAGGACTTCTCCAGAGTCTCTTCCTTCCTCTGGAACTCCCTACCACAATCTCTCCAGCTTTCTTCTACTTTGATCCCTGAAAACGTATTTCTTCAGGGAAGGCTATCCCGCCTCCACCTAACAACTGAAATGTTACCTGTTCCATCAACTCACCCTCACCCCCAAACTCACCCCCTTTGGATTACTTGCACCTCTCATTTGGATTGTAAGCTCTTGCAAGCAGGGTCCTCCTAACCCTCTTAAAGTGTACTGTAACTGTACTTTGTAAAGTACTGCACAAACTGCTTTTGGTGCTATATAAATCCTGTATAATAATGATAAATTAAAAACGCAGCTTCAAGCTTCCAAATGTCACTTACAACCTAGCCAAAGATAACATCTCTGGCTATCAAGTGCAATGTTGGTGTTTTACATACTTATAGAATAGGTAGAGTATATTATTTTTATTTTTGATCTCACCAACTTTATTAGTAAGATAAGAGAGTCAACAAGCACAGCACACTTACGTAATGAGCAAAAAAGAATTACACAGTATACATTAAAACATTAAGGAACTTCAGATTCAGACAAACAGCAATATACACTGATCAGCCATAACATTATGACCACTGAGAGGTGAAGTGAATACCATTGACTATCTCATTACAATGGCACCTGGCAGTGGCTGGGATAAATTAGGCATCAAGTGAACATTTGAAGTTGATATGTTGGAAGGAGAAAAAAATGGGCAAGCGTAAGGAATTCAGCAACGGACAAGGGCGAAATTGTGATGGCTAGACCACTGGTTTAGAGCAACTCCAAAACTGCAGCTCTTGTGGGATGTTCCCAGTCTGTAGTGGACTTACCAAAAGTGGTCCAAGGAAGGATAAACTGGTGAACTGGCGACAGGGTCATGAGCGGCCAAGGCTCATTGATAAACGCGGGAGCGAAGGCTGGCCGGTGTGGTCCAATAGAAGAGCTACTGTAGCTCCCATGGCTGAAAAGGTTCTGCTGGTTCTGATAGAAAGGTGTCTGAACACACAATGCATCACAGTTTGTTGCGTATGGGGCTGCATAGCCACAGGCCAGTCAGTGTGCCCATGCTGACCCGTGTCCACCGCCAAAAGCGCCTACAATGGTCACGTGAGCATCAGAACTGGACTATGGAGCAGTGGAAGAAGTTTTCTTTTACATCATGTGGATGGCTGGGCATGTGTGTTTCTTACCTGGGGAAGAGATAGCACCAGGATGCACTATGAGAAGAAGGCAAGCCGGTGGAAGCAATATGATGCTTTGGGCAATGTTCTGTTGGGAAACCTTGGGTCCTGCCATTGGAGAGGATGTTACTTTGACACGTACCACCTACCTAATCATTGATGCTGACCAAATACACCCCTTCATGGAAACAATATTCCCTGATGTCATTGGCCTCTTTCAGCAGGATAATGCGCCCTGCCACACTGCAAAGATGGCTTAAGAATGGTTTGAGGAACACAGCAAGTTTTTTTTTTTATATGGCCTCCAAATTGTCCAGACCTCAATCCAGTCGAGCATGTATGGCAGGGGTAGCCAAACTCCGGCTCTCCAGCTGTGGTGAAATTACAAATCCCATGATGCATCTCTCTCCGGGAGTCAAGTCTGTGAGAATCTTGCAATGCCTCATTGGATTTGTAGTTCCACCACAGCCTGAGGGCCAGAGTTTGGCTACCCATGATGTATGGGATGTGCTGGAAAAACAAGTCCTATCCATGGAGGCCCCACCTCTCAACTTACAGGACTTAAGGGATCTGCTACTGACTGGTTGGTGCCAGAATCTTGTGAAGTCCATGCCTCAACAGGTCTGGGCTATTTTGGTGGAAAAAGGTGGACCTACCTAATATTAGGTGGCTGATCGGTTTAAATCTGCATGACCATGCATTCCTAGGGAATGGAGTTGCCTGCATTCATGCCATTCATCCCAGCATCTCTTTTTTTTCCAGTCGTGCGGCAGATCATATACTTTCTATATGCACAGCGCCATCTACTGGCAAAGGGAAGAATGAAAGGGGCTGGTAGGGATGTAAGAGATACCAATTGTATTCTGTTTCTGTACATCTCAGAGCAACTTGAAGCAACATGAACAGGAGAGCCACATGTTTAACATCTTCTATATCTCCGGGACTGTTAGAACCATGTAGACCCAAAAACGGTAAGCGGTTTCCAACAGAGAGAATTGTTATTTCTTTAACATTGCAATAGAATTGTTTAATATACAAGATCAATCACAATTAGTCAGTCTCTTTACATGTAAACCTAACATGCATAAAAATGCTATAGGTCATCTTCAAGGTCTCAGGATTTTATTTTACCTGCTAGAGAACCTTTGTTCCCGGTTTACTCCTGTAAATGTTTAAACCATCAATAAAAACATGGTGCTATAAAATGAAGTACATGCTTGTTAAAGTGTATTTCAGGGCATAAAAAAAAAACTACATGCAGTACATCTCTGCAATACATGAACATTTCCCATATTTTATCCTGCTGCAAGTAAAGAAAAATACCCGATGATCCTTCCAGAAATCCACTGAGTTAACTTTCTGTAGAGGACTGACATCACTTCCTATGCTCCACTGAAATCCCAAGCAGTGTTACTGACCCTTCCTGAGTTCTCCCCTGTTAAGACTACAGAACTTGGAGAGTTAGAGAGGGGCAAAGTGTTCTGTAGTTCAGTTGGGGGATACCTGTGACAGGCCTGGGATTTTAGTGTAGCAGAGGCCGTGTTGTCAGCCCACAACAGAAAGTTTGACGCTAATTGAATTACTGGCTGGACCAGTCAGCTGTATTGTTAAATAGACACATAGTAAAAGGTACATGCATTGCAGAGACATACTGTACGTATTGTTTTTCATTTTGCCCGGACATTCACTTCACATAAAACTCGAATTTCTCTTTTATGATTTAGATAATAATCCAATTATATAAGCTATTTATGAAACAATTCCTAAGGCTTTACTCATTCTTTTCTCAGACTGGTACCTTACAGAATTTGTTGTATATCTTTGTCGTCACTGCTCTCTTTATTTAGGTAGAAAATACTTTTCTAAAAATCCTTGGACAAGGACCCAGGTGGTTAGTTTTAAAGTCTCCAGGTAAGGATGTAGACTGCATCCCTGATACAGAAGATCCTGTCACAGAGGCAGATGGCACCAACTATCCATTGAGAAAGACTAAAGCTGAAAACCAAATTCTCCAGGGTCACTTTTAACATACGAGCAAGGACTCATGCACACGGTTGGCTGAGCCCGTACAGTGTAAAAACCAGTGTATTTTTTTTCCCCCCGGGAGCCACAGGTGCCTCACATTGTAGCCTCACATTGTAGTCAATGGCTTGCATGCAGCGGTACGCGGGTATACGCTGGTACTTGCTTACAGTCGTGTATATGTATGGATGCAAATCCTTGGACACACTTATCCTGCATTCAGAGATTTACGTACTTATGCAAATGAGGCTGAATGCAAGTACTTGTATATACTGGTGTACAGCCATTTACTTGTAGTGGATGTTATGCGCAGCACCTGCAGCTCCCTGAAAAAGGAAGAAAATACTTTGGTAAATAGCCGCAAAACTGTTGCATTCTCATGCAAGATCTTCATAACCACTGGAAGGAAGAGAAGTCTAGCAGGGGAAGCGTTCTCTATAGATGAACAATGGATCTACTCTTCACTGCTGATCCTTAGAATTTAGCGACAACATCTTTCACTTTCTTGTTGCTTCGTGGAACAATATCCATTTCAGGTTCGGCGATGGGGCCTATAGCAAAAACACACACCTAGCACTCTCCAATGTACCAAAATCATGAGACCCCAGCATTTCTGATGGCTACATTATAACCATATCGGTACACAGGGCCTGAATACATCCCACCAGAATATGATGACTTTTTAGGACTGAATAATCTGCCCCCAGTCCTACATCTCACTGGCTCTAAGATTCCTAAATCCCTGTTTACACCTAGGCATTTCGTGAACGTGGGAAAAAATGCACACTTTGAATGCATCAAATATGCACCACGCTTGCGGTGCCTTACTGGTTAATGGAACCCCAAACGCCAGCCTGGAAAACATGGGGATTTCCCTCATGTAGGCGAATTTGCTAAATGAGCTACTTTCCTGCGTTTGTTGTGCGTGCAGGCACTTATTGAAATAAACGGGTACACGCTGCAAATGCGGGAAAAAACCTGAACATAAGCAACGTGCGTTCCCGGTAACCCTACATGTGAACTTATGTAAACTTTATTATATAAGAGCTATTCCACCATCATATAAGCAAGTCTCAGGGCTCCAAAGACAAAACAATATCTGCAATATGTCAAATATCAACACCAGAAATAAAATATTGTTTAATTGTATAAAAAAACAAAACAAAAAAAAACAGCTCACTTTTAATTTCGAGGTTTTTTCATGAAGAAGTATCATTTCCTTTCTGATATTCACCAGCTTGTTATGGTAATACTTGGCTTCTGAAAACTACAAATAAAACACAGAACAAAAGAAATCATGTCATTCACCAATGTTCATTTTCTAAGCTTGACAAAGAGTCCACTCATCTTACATTCTATCTAAAAACAAATAACGTAATATATTGCAGCTCAACAATTCTTACACATGGGGGCTGCATTAGTTTTCTTTTTTTAGGCTTTTATTCTTTTGATTTCATCTGGCTGGTGATCCAGTAAGTAAGTCTTTGATTTTTCAACTTCCTTTAAAGAGGAACTTTACGCATATCTTCAAAATGACAACAAACACACCTTTAGAAAGCCTTAGTAATGGAAATCTACACACACATACTTCTAGATCAGTGATGGCAAACCTTGGCACTCCAGCTGTTTTGGAACTACAAGTCCCATGAGGCATTGCAAGGCTCTGACAGCCACAGACATAACTCCCAGAGGCAGATGCATCTTGGGATTTGTAGTTTTGGCACAGCTGGAGTGCCAAGGTTTGCCACCACTGTTCTAGATAATTGCCGGCTTTGTATTCTTTACATACCTTATTTCTCTTTCCTTCCCCAGTCTTCTTACAGTGGCCATTTTTTTTACTAAGGGCAGATTAATAGATCTCCCTTTACTTCCTGGAACTCTGGCACATGTGACTAGGACATGTGACCATGCACATCATCTCAGGGGAGGGAATTGCCTTTCCCTGAGATCTCATGAGATTACAGATGAGATTTCCCAGCAATGCTCTGCTGATGTAACCTTCCCAGGATGCGACACTTGGGCTCGATTATATCATTTGTGCCAAAATGGACCAGGAAGTGGAAAGTGGGGGGGAAAAGGAAATTGTAGGGAAAATAAAAAAAAAAAAAATGTTTGTTTAGCTAATGAATCTAAGATGATTTCGTATCAGCATGCTGAGCTGTGTGCTGATGTGATTTATAGGTAAAGGGGGTAAAGGTCCACTTTTACAGGCCAAGCTGTCCAGCAAAGGTGAGTGTTGAGGCAAACCATTTAACAATGACAGGGATGCTTACAATGGTCAGATTTCATTAATTTATGTAGAGGAAAGTGTACATTTATGTGAAAGGGGAAAAAAAGTAAAGCTATTTGCTCTAACTGCTTGAAAATTGTTAGTGGAGTTCAGATTTAATTTGTTAGTCAAGATCATCTAAACCGCCTAGTACATCTATCACTACCCTCTCCGCAGGCTGACAATGCTGCTGTCCAAGGGTGGTTCCATTGCTCCTACATAGAGTATAGTCACCGTAAGGCTGGAAGTGTGTTACTGCCCAGATCACCAGAAAAAAATAAAGGGGAAAAAAGTCTAACAAAAGAAAACTAATGCAGCCGCCACATCTAAGGACTGGAAAGCTGCAATATATTACATTATTGTTTTTAGATTTAGATACATTTTAAGCATTAAAAAAAAAAAAACAGCTTTTGCTTGAAACCCTGAACTGGATCTACATACCATATCCTGTGGCACAGCCTTGTTACAAGATATTTGTAGAGTCTGGGACAATAGGCAACCTCTGTAATACTGAAGGTAGATCTTTTACAGATGGATGGCCATAAAGCTTACAGTAATGGCCTAATGGAGGGGGAAGGCATAGCAATCCATTAGTAAATGATTACAAATGCAACAACATAATGGGGTACTTCCCGATAACAAGTACAAATCCAATTTTGGGAATCCACAGTAGCAACTTTATGTCATGTTTATTGTAAATATCTATAATTATAGGTGAACGCCGGAATAAGGAAATATTGTCTAACTAAATGAGATGTATATTCTTACTTCAGTCTTGGCGTGCTCTGTGTATTTCTTTCAGATCTGTGTAGTAATCCAGTGTGAAACTTTATCTCTGTGCAGGAGCTTCCTGTAATAAAGACCAGTCACTGCTGCTCTCTTTTCTTGTTCAGGGTGTCTGGTCTCCACCCCCCTTTGCCAATTATTAGTACTGGAGCAGGAGTAGAGGGGATATCCACCAAGAGAAATACTTGTTCAAGGGACAGCTGTCATAGCTGGGATTTCTTCTCATTTTGAGGAGTTTTCCACTTTCTTCCTGTTGTGTCCCTGGGAACTTTATGTGCAATAATTTCTGCTTGATGGGGAGTAATAAAACCAGAGGCAAAGATTCTAACCCAACGCTCTTATGCAGGCCTTTAGTAGTGATGAGCCTGGGCTTGGTGTGAACCCAGTTCCCCCAAGCCTGCTCTAGTATGTGATTGACATCCCCAACTCTTGGCCCAATCAGTCACAGAGAGGCGCATTGAGCAGGCTTGGGTTAACTCAGGCAAACTGTGTTTGCACCAAGCCAGGCTCATCTCTAGTTGTGACCATGGCAAGGAGGCATGCCAGACCACTGCAGATAGACTGGTGATTTCAGTCAAATGCTCTTTATCTGCAGCCTACTGCTAGGACACAGACTTTTCTACTTCTGATGGGATTGCATTAAAAAGGAAACATAAGACATTTACAAATGAGTGCTTTGCTACATCCTCCATTTATCTACAGACTTGGGCCTAAAAGCCCAACTGCTGGCTCAGCCCTCCGCCCACCAATCACACCTCTCACCCTGGAGGCCCCTCTGGCAAAATGTTTTGCTTATTTTTTTTTTTTTATACTTCACTTTTTTAGGAGTCTTAAGGCTGACCACATAACGCACTGGGTCCCCTTAGGCCTCATTCACACACAAATCGGCCTGCACGTACAGCTCCGTGCTGCGTGCGGGGCCGTACCAAGTAGCAGCCCCCGTCCTTCTCTATGGGGCTACGCGGCCTTACGCCCCCCTACACTCACCTCATTTGCAGGTCCGTAGGGGTGCGGGTGATCGTATTCATACGCCGCCGGAATGGAACATGTATGCGTCCCGGCCAGAAAACCTGCACCCCTACGGACCTGCAAATGAGGTGAGCGTAGGGGGGCATACGGCCGCGTAGGTTCTAATCACACGCAGCACCTGTCCTTCCCGGCAGCTACTTGGTACGGCCCCGCACGCAGCACGGAGCTGTACGTGCAGGCCGATTCGTGTGTGAATGGGGCCGTACTCTTTGGTTTTCTTGCAGCAACTAGTGGTCCTTTTATTGATGCAGAGAGTGGTGGTGACATGATAGCATCAATACTTGGTAAATAACAATTCACAGTGTGTCCTCAGACACTTAGTGTCACTAAACCTAATACTAAGGGTATCTTGTAGAAAAAGAGGAAGCACTGTGGGGGGCAACCTTAAATTGCAGATAAGTATTGCAGCGTTAGCAGATATTGCTTTATTTTAAGCTGCTGCTGGGGAACCATTTTAGTCCAAAAAAAAAAAAAAGAAGATGCCCTGAGTTAGGCTTTACATAAATATGCAGTAACATATCACTCACCAGGGCGTTGATGTTGAGAACTGAATTACACTCTTTAAATTTGGAGATTTCTTGATCTAGAGTGTCTAGTAATACCACTTGGTTCTGCCTATAAGAAAACATACAGCATATTCAAGAACAGGACTTTCCTTCAATGTAATAACAATGATAACATTCCTATTCATAACAACTCAAGTCATAGACGTATGTGGCAAGTAGTATTTATAGTACAATCCATTCAAATCACTTGACTACATACCAGTGATCCCCATTTAACTATGTGACTGGCTGCCCCCAGTGACTCATATTATAAGAAGAGGTGTATACTTGTGCAATCAGTTACTTTAGGTTTTGTATTGTAATTAAATCAGTTTGCAGTGAATCCAATGTGATTCAATGTTCTATATAAAAATCAGAAAAATGTTCAAGGAGAAATGATACAATTTTGATGTCAGATTTAACAGAGATCACTGATCCTCAAACTAGAGGCGTTAATATAATGCAGGGGCTTTTAATATCGCAGACTCATGGTTACGTTGCAACACTTGTCAGTGATTAGAAAACATTCGATGACAGATCATCTCCAGTGCACACAAACTTGAAAATATGTAACTGGCAATCTCCTTCATGGGAAATGGAAAAATAATAATTTAAAGGGGAACTCCAGGACAAGCAATCATTTGGCAGTGGATGGTAGGGGGCGGTGGACATAACCATTTCATATTTTACAACCTTTACATTAAATCTCTTTCATCCTTCATTGCCCATACTTAGAACTCCAGACACAAATAGCAAAATAAAAACCCGCTGCAGTATTTTGTTTCTGACTTTAGATGTCCTGCATCATTCAGCCCACTTCCTCTGAGCCCAGGACATCCTATACCCACCCCCAGCCTGTTACTGCACAATGAAAGGAGAAGAAACACAATGATACGCGTGTCTCTCTGTCACTATACTTTCTCCTCCTATCAGCATGCTTCTCGTCAGGTCAGCGCATGAAGTGATTGGCTCCTTTTACTGCTTCTTCCCCTCACACTAACACTCTGTTGTACAAGGACTGCAAGAGGAAGATACCAGGTCATATTCAGGTACTTACACTGCTATTTACAAAATGTATTTAAAAAAGGAGAACTATGAGGTGAGTAATTTCCACTCATCTTTATAGTTCGAGCCCACGTGCGACAATGAAGCTGTCACAGGTCTGCTCCATTGATCAGGAAGTCAGTGAACACATACCTTCGCTCACTCACTTCCTGATCATCTCCCTGCAGAGAGCAGTGACTGTCAGTCACCGCTCTCTGCAGGGATTCCCCCCTCCCCGATCCTTCAGCGCTGACCAGAGGAACGAACGTGGGAGGGTCGGGCACAGGTGGCTCTTCCTCTAGATAGGCAGATCCCACTGTCACTCAGCTAGCTGGGTGGATCTGTACAGCAATGTCGGGATCTGTCCCGGCTGCGGCGCTCTCAGTATACAGCGAACTGTAGCTCTATATACTGAGCTTTGGGTCACGGGAGGATGTTAGTATGTGTCCTCCCGTGATAAAAAGTTTACCCCATAGTTCTCTTTTAATGAAATATTATTGATTATACGACTGCATTCATTTGTGTTTTATAGATCTGCCTGGAGTTCAGCTTTAAAGAAAAACTCCAGGAACATTTTTTTATTAACCCCTGCAGTGGGGCTCCCACTGCACTGCATCAGTTAAGTGCTCATTCTTGTCTAGGTGCAAGTTATAGTTACCTGAACCTCACCACTGCAACGATGGAATGTTCCTCGGTGTCTTCACATCCAATACACAGTGTACAGGGCATTGTGACTCATGGGACCTTAGATCGCTGGAGCAGAGGGAGGAGAGAGGCTGGAAGGACCAGTCTAACAGCCAGCTGGCTCAGAGGATTGGCGAGGATAACTTTTTTTATTTTTGCACCTAGATGAAAACGAGCACTTAACCCTTGCAGTGCAGGAGTAGCCCCACTGCAAGGGTTAACAAAATGTCATCCCTGAGTTCTTCTTTAAGTAAATTAGATCATGCAATTATTATGACATATGACTTTCTTTAGACATATCCAGTGAATGAAGTGCTTTAGTTTTAGATAAGGGAGAAATTCAGTATAAACAAATATCTGATGAAAGTGCAGGCCAAAGGCGTAATCAGTGTAAACCGGTTTCTGTACCCCAGTCCAACAACTGCTGAGTGTCATACATCCTGCTCCTCTCTATTTGTGCTTCCTGGTGTAGCTGCCACCTCAAAGCAGGTGAAAGATGCACAAGATCTCCATGGAAGATTATCGGGCGTATTTATAAGAAAATCACATAGCTTGTTTATCCAGTAAAAATGCAGGTACATTCACTCTGTGTGAGCGTCCAGATGTTGTGAAAATGGGGGAAACAAACAAATGTTCTTAGTGTAATTTCTCTTTTGGTCAAATGTTCTTCAATAGGTATGTTCATACAGAACAGAGAGAAGAAGGACAATACCAGATTATGGCCACTAGATGGAGCTGAGCAGAGGAAATACATGCTAGTAATGAGATCCAATTCAAGAGAGAATGAGCATATACAGGTGAAACTCGAATAATTAGAATATTTCACTAATGCAACTTAAAATATGAAACTAATATATGAGATAGACTCATTACATGCAAAGCAAGATAGTTCAAGCCGTGATTTGTCATAATTGTGATGATTATGGCTTACAGCTCATGAAAACCCCAAATCCACAATCTCAAAAAATTAGAATCAGCTAATTAAGCCATAACACCTGCAAAGGGTTGCTGAGCCTCTAAATGGTCTCCCAGTCTGGTTCAGTAGAAATCACAATCATGGAGGCAGACACTGCAAGATGCTTGAAGTCCAGTGTGAAGTTATCACAGTCTGTGTTGATTTGAGGAGACAAGTCATCTGCTGGTGTTGGTCCACTGTGCTTCATTAAGTCCAGGGTCAAGGCAGCCGTCTACCAGGAGATTTTGGAGCACTTCATGCTTCCTTCCGCAGACGAGCTCTATGAGGATGCTGACTTCATTTTCCAGCAGGACTTGGCACCTGCCCACACTGCCAAAAGCACCAAAACCTGGTTCAATGACCGCGGGATTACTGTGCTTGATTGGCCAGCAAACTCGCCTGACCTGAACCCCATAGAGAATCTATGGGGCATTGCTGAGAGAAAGATGAGAGACCGAACAATGCAGAAGAGCTGAGGGCCGCTGTTGAAGCATCCTGGTCTTCCATAACACCTCAGCAGTGCCACAGGCTGATAGCTTCCATGCCACGCCGCATTGAGGCAGTAATTGCTGCAAAAGGGGCCCAAACCAAGTACTGAGTACATATGCATGCTTATACTTTTCAGAGGTCCGATATTGTTCTATGTACAATCCTTGTTTTATTGATTGCATGTAATATTCTAATTTTCTGAGATTGTGGATTTGTGGTTTTCATGAGCTGTAAGCCATAATCATCACAATTATGACAAATCACGGCTTGAACTATCTTGCTTTGCATGTAATGAGTCTATCTCATATATTAGTTTCACCTTTTAAGTTGCATTAGTGAAATAAATGAACTTTTGCACGATACTCTAATTTTTAGAGTTTCACCTGTAAATGTCACCATTACAGCAATCGTTACACTTACAGCGGAACTCCAGGCCACCCCCACACTGGAAGGGTTAAGTGCTCATTTTTATCTTGCAGGTGAAAGTAAAGAAGAAATACTCACCCGATTCTCAGACCCACCTGGCTGATAGACCGGTCCCCGCAGCCTCTTCTCTCTCAGGCTCCGGTAGTCTAAGGACCTATGACGTCATCTTGTCTAATACAGTCTATTTGACGTTTAGATGCCGGGGGACATACCACCGTCGGAGCAGAGTGGAAGAGAGGTGAGCGGTCACTGCCGCAGGACCAAGGACTGGTTGAGTATTTCTGCTTTATTTCCGCCCGTAGAACAAAACGAGCAGTTAACCCTTGCAGTACAGGGTAGCCACACTGCAAGGGTAAACTTTTCAAAACCCGGAGTTCTTTAACCCCTTCACGACTGACGTACAGTGTACGTCGCTAGCATCGGGCTGTTTAAACAGACTCCCGGCGGCTTTTACCATCGGGACTCTGTTTAAACTTGTAAAGCCGACTGTCGGCTTTACAATAGAAGCGATTCTGGCGACTCAGCTGTCGCCAGATCGATTCTATGGCCTGGTGAAGGGGTCCCCGCCCGACACCCACGCCGTGCTTCCCGGGCTCGGTTGCCCCTCCTCCGGGCCCGTAGCTGTCAGTGCTGGGCTCCTGAAGCCCAGCTATAAGCTATTGAAGTGCGATGCCCAACATGTGACAATGAAACTGTGACACGTCGGCTCAATAGATTGGGAAGTGAGCGAACACATACCATCGCTCGCTCACTTCTGGATCTTCTCCCTGCAGAAAGCCGTGACTGTCAGTCACCACTCCTCATAGGGATTTTCCACTCCCCGCTCTGATCCTCCAGCACTGAGTGGAAGAACGGATGAGGGAGGGGGGCGGGTACAGCTGGCTCTGCCTCTAGATGGGCAGAGCCAGCTGTCACTCACGCAGCTGGGTGGATCTCGACAGCATTGTTGGGATCCATCCCGGCTGCGGCGATCTCAGTATACTGTGAGCTGTAGCTCGCAATATACTGAGCTTTGGGTCATGGGAGGAGGTTAGTATATGTCCTCCTGTGACCCTTAAAGGAGAACTATGAGATGAGTGATTTCCACTCACCTCATAGTTCTAGCCGACCTGTGACAATGAGACTGTCACAGGTCGGCTCAGTAGATCGGGAGGTGAGCGAACACATACCAGCGTTCGCTCACCTCTCGATCCTGTCACAGCTCTCTGCCGTGACAGGGGAGGGACTGGATTCCCCCCTCCCCGCACCCCCGTTACCCTAAGGAGAACTATGGGGAAAATCACTTACCCCATAGTTCTCGTTTAAATGATCATTCTCTCCAGTCTTCTCTCAAATTGTCACTTTGTATCTCCTAACATGTATTTATTTCCTGTGATCTTTAGCTCCATCTAGCGGTCATAATACAGTATTATACTTATTAATTCTGTTCTGTATGAAAGAAAAACTCTGGAAAACTTTTATTAACCCCTCACTGTAAGGGCAAACTGCTTGTTGTACTCATGAGATTGTACACATCTGATCCTTGGAGATGGCTGGCTCTTAGACTGCTCCCAGCCTCGCTCACCCTCCACTGCAGCATTCTAAGGATTCTCAAGTCATCACGTCCAATACACTGTGTACTGGACGTGCAGATGAGTTTGATAATATAAAGTATAAAGAGAACAGAAATTTGTCCTCTGTTATGAATAATACTGCATGTGTCCTACATACGTGAGTTCCTGTAAGGCGAGCTTGGAGTTCTGAAGATTGGGTACGTAATGAGCAATAAGTCCTTCACTGAGTTGCTCCACAGACTTTACGTCACGAGGAAACTGATCTTCTGGCAGTCCTTCATCAATTGTGTCATTGCTTGGCCCTGAAGGATATGAAAATAATATGAGAAAAGAATGCATCACTTAGAGAACATTTATCATGAGAGCCTGATACCAGGATACATTCAGGTACTTACACGTGTGTAATCTGGGTCCCACTGGGGATATTCCCCTTCACTTCCTGTCCAATAGCCAGAACAGGGAGTGAGAGCAAATCCCTCCAAAGTGAGGGAAATCCCTGGTCGTCACCAGAACTAGTGTCCCCATTGGAAGATTTTCCATCTATTCTTGTTCTGGTGTCTACTTGGGATTTGATTTCACGCTCAGTGATAATGGTCACCAGGACAAATTGAGAAGGTGAACTTCTATAATGGGTGACACAGACAGCAATACAGTCTCACAGGGGTTCTAATCCCTCTCCACTCTAGTTTTAGCTTCAGTTCTACTTTAAGGTGAAACTCAAGTCAGGTAGTTATTGCTGCCTGTCACCCCACTGGGGAGAGTCACACTAGTCCTGTTGAAAAAATGAGGGGAAATCTTTAATATTAGAGTTATCACTAAAACCAAAGTAGAGGATATCTTTGAATGTTTGAATGGGAAAATTTGTTCTCATGACAACTGTCATAGGTGAGATTTACTCTCATTTCCTGTTATGTCTCTGGAGATATATATATATATATCCATCCACAACTGGAAGCTACATCCCCCTCTCTGAGCTGTGGTTCCATCCACTAGCCTAGTAACACAGAGGCCGGCAGACTGAACCACAGTGTCTAGAGGGGGTGCAGGCATCTGACACTTCTGGAAGAGTGTTGGATGTGAAGATTCTAATGGAATTCTATTGACAGGTTTATATACTCCTTTGCACTGTCCCAGTCATAAACTCCTATGTGTAATTCGTTTCAGCCTACTAAACAATTGATCTGGTTCAGAAGGAAGTTCTGACCACTTCCTATATAACTGTTTCAGACGGCTGACCAAATCATTACTATGACAGAACGATTAGTATGTCAGCCAGGCAGAATTTTAAGGAGGTCAGCACTGGCAGTCCTATTTCTCTCATAACCAATCAGATGATCGCATTTAACTTCCACAATATAAAAAGAATGTGACAGAATGATCTGCCTAATACGCCAACCCACCTGCTGCAGCATTTTGCCCCCGGGGTAACGTGCTGTCTACCGTGTGTCCATCACCGCTGCCTTCTTCCTCCATGAAATCCAGCTTTCCCCCTCTCCTGTGGGCACATTCAGCTGACTTCAGCGTGACCCTCGGCTATAGGAACCCGGAAGTAGCTAATTTACTTGTTTGGAAACAATCCTGGTCGCGTTAACGTTGATGTCAATAAAGTTTTATGAAGAAAAAAAAGAGTTTACAATCGTTCTAAAGATGTGCGCTTTTACCGCTAGAGGTCTCTCTTTTGCCAATAAAAAATATCAAGAAAGTAAGGAGAGAAAGCCTGACAAATCGGAGACTGAGGAAAGTTTCACGTGACAAGCTTGAGAACAGTCACGTGATCCTCTGTTTGCCTCGAGCGCCCCGATGTCATGTGACGAATTATTTTAGTGCTAGCGGCTGAAATCCGGAAGTGGCAGAGTGACAGTCGTCTGCTGTCAGGAACGAAGCTCCGAGCTGTGCGGGGCTGCCATGTGGCGGCGGCCTCCAGCCTGGTGGAGCTCTCTGCAGCTGAAGCTTCGCAGAGACCAGCAGCCTCCTTACCTGAGCGATGATACGGGCTTCGACTACCCAGATGAAGCGGAGGCGGTGGACGGCGAGCTGCCCGCCTTCAATAAGCTGAGGGTGCTGGTGGCGGATGACACCCCGACCATTAATGGGGGTGCTCTGGCCTTCTCCTCTGATGATGACTCCTTGTTGGAACGGGACGACCCGACTCCTCCTCCCCGGTCAGAGCCGTGTGATAGCTGCCGGCAGCAGCGGGACAGGATAAAGGAGAGGACGGTGAAGAAGAGGCTGGGGCTGGCCGCTCTGCTCTATTTACTCTTCATGGTGGCCGAGCTGCTGGGTGAGGACCTGAACCTAACTATCCTCTGCATGAGACCTCCAGGGACACAGTATGACTAGATCTTAAAGCTGAACTCTGGGAGATTAAAGAAAAATACCCGTGCAGTGCCCGCTCCCCTCTCAGCACTGCAAGGGTTAAAAGGGAACTAAAGCCAAGCTTTTTTTTTTTTTGGCTTTGGTCCTCCTTTTGGTCAAAGGAGTATATTTACCAATATCCTCCTCTGACCCAAAACTCAACATAAAGCAGACTATTCTACCTATATGCTGACAGCGCAGAGAAGTGCTGCAGCCGGGACGGATCCCAACAATATTGTCTGGATCCATCCCCCCCCCACCCCCCGCTGCCTGATTGACAGCTGGCTTTGCCTCTCTAGAGCCAGAGGTAGCTGTGCCTGCCCCCTCCCCTGTCTGTCCATCCAATGAGCGCTGGAGGAACAGAGAGGGGAATCCCTACATGGTGCTGTGACTGACAGTCATTACTCTGTACAGGGAGAAGCCATGAACTGAGTAATCAGCGGTTTGTTATCACTCAGTTCTCCAACTATAGAAGCAGCGTGTGACAGCTGCAGTGTCCCATCCCGGCTCTAAGTATTAGGAAGAGTACATTTTTCTTTCCCAGTACTTCTCCTTTAACTACTGGTTATGTCTATGGTGTAGGGGAAATGGGTTTAATACTTTCCTTGATACCTCACTCCGGCAGGCTCTTGGACCCTCCTGTGCTCACACGCACAGCGATGCGATGACATCAAGTACAGCCTAGGGGATGTAGTAGGATAATATTCTGTATTGTACGTGTACATTGAGAGCCCATGACCCAGTGCATTAGAGTGCCAGAGTGAGGAATAATGTAAATAATACAGCCTTAACATGCATTTCATCTTTGTAGAGCGAGGGGAGCTCCATGGCAAGAATAGTTTTTCCTAGAATCCTGAAACATGGGGTCCCTACAGCAAGGGTAGAGAGACCAACCTTTTTTTGGGGGGGGTGGGATAGATCAGTGAGGGGTTAGAGCCACTGCCAAGTTTTTACTGCTGTTTGTGTCCCAGCTAGGGAGGTTGTTTTGCTTTACCAGCTAGGGAGGTTCTCTCTCTCGAATTGTCCTGATCACAGATATCACCAGGAATGAAAGTGAGGGCAAATCCAAAATGTTTTTGTTGCCACCAGAAGAGAAATAGAGGGAGAATTTTCAAATGGGGACACTTGTCCCTGTGACAGCTGCTCATGAGGGCATTTTCTTTACATTGGAAAACAAAAAAATCCTCTGAATGCTTGTTGAGTTCACGAGTGATGGGAAGTCTCCCTGAGACACAGAAGGCAAAAAAAGAGTGTGTTACTATTTTCTACTTTTCTTTTTTTTCTAAATGAATAAAAGGCTTTGACGTGATATTAAACCTTCAGCCTTCAAAAAGGTGCTGGGTGTTTTTTGCCTTAATGCATAGAATGTATTAAGGTAAAATCGGCCTACATAACAGTACTACTTTAAAGTACATCAAAAGCCAAAACCTTTTTTTTTTTTTTCAGGTTTGGAAGAACTGGCGGAGAGTTGGAATATCTATCAGGTTTTTATTGGTTCTGTGTCACAGTAGGGGATTTTTATTCCACTTCCTGCCTGAGAGGTGGAAATTCGCTCTTAAACAGTTGTCACCGGACCAGTTGTTTCCAACTGGAGGATTTCCCCTCACCTGTTATGGTGACAGCTGTAACATTTTGGATTTCCCGTCACTTTCTGTTCCAGTGACAATGATAACTGGGAAAACCGAAGGGGAGAATCTCCACAAAGACACAGACAACAACAATAACCTGACTGATAATATAACTCTTTCATCGCTCTTTCAAAATTTTAAGTTGAACTCTAGGCAGATATAGAATGCAGCTCTGTATTCATTAATATATCTTTAATTGAGTTTTTTAAAAAAATGCAAGCCATGTGAGAACCTGAATTAAGGTGCCCATACACTGTACGATTATCGTACGAGAATCGCGGGAAATCCCGCGATCGTACGAGAATCGCAAAGTGTATGGAAGGCGTGCGACCGTTTCTACTGTACGATCGCACGTCTTCCGTCGAACAAGCAGGCTGGAAAACCTGCCGAGAATCGTACGATTCTCAGCTGGTTAGTGCCGTGCTTGTTCGACAACTGCCGAACGGGCCGGTGTGCGCACGCGCATTTGTTGTCAGCTTTCCAAGATAGTAAGGGGATGTTTCAGTCCATGGTGTAACTTTTCCCAGAGGTGCGACTAGCCTGTATGACATTTTGCTCTGACCTTATGGCAAAGCTCTTTCCACAAGAGGTTCATATGGTAGAGATCTGGTGATTGTGCCAGCTAATCCTTCAAAGGCCTTCTGTTTCCTCACCAAATTGGTTTTGCATGGCTTAGAATTATGTTTTGGATTCTTTTCCCACTGCATGATTTAATATGAACCATTCAAGATCTGTCCACAGGCTCTCACATGACAAAAGACAAGAGGGCTAACCTTTCTGGTCACTGTTCCTTAAATTTGGTGTATTCTCCTCCTTCCTTGTTCCAAATGCCTCATGTCCTCCGATTAATGTGCTTTCCCCTGTCATCCAATGTCTGTCTTCTTTTTCCCATTATATAACTTATTGTCCGTTTAAGATATGGATTTTCCTTTGAAACTCTGCCTACAATGACCGCATCCTGGTGTCATCTTTTCATTGTTGCATTGGTACTGGTACAACTTGAAGCTGGTTGCTCCATCTGTTAATGATCTTACGTTGGCCATACACCTTACGATTATCGGACAAAACTTTTCGTCCGATGATCGAACCGTCGTACGGCAGCCCCATCATGCCCTGATTATTGCAAGGTTCAATTAGCTGTGATTTAAAGGAGAACTATGGGGTCAGTGTTTTTCCCCATAGTTCTCCTTAGGGTAACGGGAGGACACAAACTAGCGTCCTCCCGTCACCCTAAGCTCGGTATACCGCGAGCTACAGCTCGCGGTATACTCTCAGTACGTCTCACGCCGCACCTGGAGCGGATCCCGACTTAGATGACGGGATCCGCCCAGCTGAGTGAGTGACAGCTGGCTCTGCCTATCTAGAGGCAGAGCCAGCTGTACCCGCCCCCTCCCCTGTCCGTTCCGCCAGTCAGCGCTGGCAGATGGGGAGAGGGGAATCCAGCCCCTCCCCCTGTCACGGCTCTCTGCCGCAGCTGAAGCGGATCCCGACAATTGTGCCGGGATCCGCCCAGCTGCGTGACTGACAGCTGGCTCTGCCTATCTAGAGGCAGAGCCAGCTGTACCCGCCCCCTTCCCTGTCCGTTCCGCCAGTCAGTGCTGGCGGATCGGAGAGGGGAATCCAGCCCCTCAACTGTCACGGGCAGAGAGCCGTGACAGGATCGAGAGGTGAGGGAACCCGGTATGTTTTCCCTCACCTCCCGATCTACTGAGCCGACCTGTGACAGTCTCATTGTCACAGGTCGGCTTAGAACTATGAGGTGAGTGGAAATCACTCATGTCATAGTTCTCCTTTAAAGAAAAGCACCTGGACGAATTGCGGTAATCGACCGCACGTATTTTCGTTTGCGCATGAGCAGTGTAGATCGTATGATTTTTTACGTACGGAAACTCCACCAACTTTGCAAAAATCGTACGATCGACCAAAGTTTTCAAACATGCTTGAAAGTCAAAAGTCATACGATTGTACAGTATTTGCGGTTGTACACTGCCCATACACATTGCGATTATCGGACGAAAATGCGATCGCATACGAAAATCGTAAGGTGTATGGGCACCTTTAGAGCATCTCAAACTGCTCTCCTATGCAATTGGAATGCACCTGAAAGCATTCTGCATGTGCCTGTTGATGCAAGCCCTTACAAAGTCTTCTGTGTTAAATGGTTATTTATTTCAGCATAAGTTAAGTGAGTTAACCTTTAGTGTTAGCCCTTTTGTAAGATTAGTTAGCTCTTGATTTTTTTTGATTTTTTTTTTTTTAAATCAATTTTATGTCGCCTTAAAAAGAAAAAGTATCAATGCTGTAAACAAATGCAACCAATGAAGTGTGTGTGTGTGTGTGTGTGTGTGTGTGGTTTATGTGCAAACTGCAGAAAATGAAAATGACTGTTGATGGCTTTAACTTTTCAATCTGTAGTAAACTTTAGCAGATGGAATATGATTGGATGCCATTAAAATACCCATTGCTGTTATGATGATTATTAAAATAAAATACTTCAATTAAGTTAGTATCTCGTACTGAAAGTGGAATAATGATGTTTATATCTTGTATAATATTATCCATAGCTTAGCTTGTTTCCCACATGTGGTCTATACTGTATCCCATTCCCTGAAGCATTGTGTTCAGAAGTGTCTGTTTACAGCTTTAAAGTGAAATTCTTTCCTGGTTATTTGACTCTAATGATTTTATTACAGGTGGATATTTTTCCAACAGCCTTGCGATTATGACTGATGCACTTCACATGCTAACCGATCTCAGCAGTATTATTTTGACCTTGCTCGCTCTGTGGCTTTCTGCAAAGTCTCCCAACAAACATTTCACCTTTGGATTCCATCGCTTAGGTGTGTATCACCTTTTACAGTTTAATAAAAAAAAACTGCATGTGTCAGGTTGCATGTTAACAGACTGTAACATCATATGTTTTTAATGTGCTTATATGTGTGACTTGCAGGCCTAATTTTTGGTGATTTTTCACTTACTTTGGCTGCAGTATACGATATGTTTTTAATTGTTCTTAAAAACAGGATATACGTTTCAAAACCCTGATTCCAAGATCAAGATAATCTGTTGTGATCTCTGTTGAAATATGCTCAGAATGCCCCGTCACAACATTTAAAAACTAGAAAAGAAAGTTCCCCTTTAGAGAAAAAAATAATTATCAGGGGTGTGGATATTTTTTTTAAAAAAACTACTTGTCCAAGGACCAAAGCGGGGGCCCAATCTACTTGTCCTGATACAAAAAATAATTTTAACTATAACTATATTCACCCATGCTTCTCATTGATTAGTGTGGTCAGGTGACCGCATTGAACCAGGAGTGCTCGCAATTTGCAATCGAAATTCCAAATCCATAGTGCAGGGCTACGCTGGACGGCAGTATGGGGCACAGATAGTACACGCAGAGCGGAAGGACTGTTCGCCGAAAGTTAAGTACGGGAGGGGAAAGGGGGCCAGATTTGAGGGGGTAATTCCATTTTCCCAAATTCCTTGGGGAAAGTGAACTTACCCTTTTAATGCACATTGTGCGTGTTGGAGAGCGCTGCTGACCGGCTACTACGTTCTCCGCTCTGCTCCACGCTCTCCATCCTGATGTAATTTGCCGTGGTCCCAGGTCCCCCAGAAGACAGAGGGACCCCAAAAACCACAGCGGGGAGAGAGGCAGCCATTGGGGGGGATGGACCAGCACAGGCTGTCACAAGCGATCTATGTGTCTGTACAGCCACCCAGATCACTTGTACAAAACAAGTGGCGGCTTACCCTGCTCTTCATTTAGCCCTGCTTGGCCAAAGCAGGGCTGAATTTAGAAAAAAAACATGCGCCTGGAACTGCATGTCCTGGGTGTCATAAATTGCTTCACAGTGTGCATGCAGACGTTTATGAGCCTCCCCACAGCTAACCGTACCCATAGCTCATATTGCGTGCCTGTCCCGCCTGCATGGCCAATCTTCACTCCCTTCAAGAGCTATGGTGCCTGGAGAATTTATTTAATTTGACCCACTTTCGGGAGTGTCTGATTCCTTGTGAAATCCCCCCCCCAACCCACGGCTTTCGGCAGATTTGGACGGACCACATAGCGGACCGTTGGGTGCTTTATTATAAATGTTTACAGCTGTGTGTTTAAGGAAAACTGTGGGTTGAGTGTCATACACTCATCCCAAAAGTCAGAGCAGACGTGTGACTCTGCAGCTACCACACGCTGGCTCTATAGCTCGAGAACTGAGGGATCACAAACCGCTGATTACTCAGCTCATGGCTTCTCCCTGCAGAGAGTGGTGACTTATCAGTTATTGCTCCCTGCTTGGATTCCCCCCTCCCCTCTCTCTGTTCCTCCAGCACTCATTGGAGGGACAGAGAGGGGAGGGGGAGTGGGCACAGCTAGGTCTGCCTCTACAGAGGAAGAGCCAGCTGTCAATCAGGCAGCGGGATGGATCCCAACATTGTTGTCGGGATCCTTCCCGGCTGCAGTGCAGTAGCCCACTATATGCTGAGTTTGGGGTCACAGGAGGACATTAGTGAATGTCCTCCTGTGACCCTAAAAAAAAAATATGGCCATAGTTCTCTTAACCCTTTGTAGTGAGGTCTTTTGAAATTTGAGTTCTCAAGTGTGCGTCTTTTTTCCCCCCTTTTTATGTTTATTTACTTAATTATTTATTTTTTCTTTCTGTTGCAGAGGTCCTGTCTGCCATTATTAGTGTATTACTGGTGTACATTCTCACAGGGTTTTTGCTCTATGAAGCAGTACAGAGGACTATTCATATGGACTATACTATTAATGGAGATGTAATGTTGATAACCGCAGCTGTTGATTTATAATGGATCGGTGGAGCAGAGGTATATACTTGCAATGATTAAATCATGCATTAAAGGTGCACTACAGGCTCCTCTCCTGTACTTAAATTTCACCGCATACAATGAGGTTCTCGCAGTGTGTATTAGAAGCTGCAGCAAGTCAAATGGAGCCTGCCTCATTTTCTGGCTGGGAGGACATGCCGCATCACCCAGCCAGAATATCTGGCCTGCCCCTTTCATTCATTGGATTTCAGTTATTTAAATCATGGAAGCTTAACATCATATGTGGACATTACCTAGGGCAGTCTGCATGAAAATGAAACCTGCCTAGGAATGCTCACTAATCTAGACTAACAGCCACCTATGATGACATCTTTTTTTATTTGCTCAACTCCTCCCATGAGCCAGCCTTCTGCTTGCACCAGGACTGAGGGGTCTTGAGTACTGAGGAAGGTTGCTGTGATGTTTTTAGGAAGGTATGTACAGCACCCCACACCCCCAGCCATGATCTCTGATTGCATAGAAAAGCACAGAACTACTGATGATGCCACAAGGTCTAAAATCAGGGTAATGAAATGGAAAGGTTTTATTTTAAAAGGTCATTACCATGTAAATGAGGGGGGAGGAGCAACCAGGGAAGGCAAAATACAAGCAGATTAAACTTCAGCTTTAACTGTATGAGCATATCTGCATTCATCAGCACCTAAAAATAATTTTCACAATGTTTAACAATAATACTATACTCATTTGGTGACCAATATAGATATGACCACCTCCTTTAAAGCACATTTATGCTGAAAAATAGATTTCACCAACTAATATTGCTAAAACGAAAGTTCCTAAATGCATTGTATTTACGTGGGCATAAAGTGTAATCATATTCCCCTGCATTCTCCATCTGGGTGATACTTGTGCCTCCCTTCAACATGGCATACTGCCCTGGGAGCCAGGAAGACACTTTTAGTAAAGCTGCTTCAGAGGCAATTTATCAAACTAATGGAACCTCTCATTTGAATGTGTCAGCATGGCTGAAAATCCCACCTTCTGTCTGCATTTATTATTGTCAGCAGAAGGCACGTCCCCTGCCACCTTGTAATTGCATATTTACTTCTAGATTAGAATAGTACAAAAACCTCACACCCCCATGCTGATAAAGGCCCTAAAGTTCCTTTCTTGAGGCTAACTCGCTATGCTTGATTTAAATGTCAAGAGCGAAGACTTATCCCTGGCACTATCAGTAATCAGGTGACCCAGTTCCCTTTCCCAGTACTTGGTGAAAAGGTGAGCTTTGGAAAAGCATGCAACAATAAGACGGCAAAGCGAGGACAGCCCTTATTGAGTATTATTTAATTGTATGCCCCCGTTGTTCTAAAGTTCTAGGTAGTGCTGGCTGAGATCTCAGTCAGAAACCTAACTTAAATATGAACACTACGTCACCAGCATATATAGCCTGAATAAACATCTGCTTCCATGTGGGTTGTTACCTTAAATAAAAGTCCTATCATTTTCTTCAACATTGTTTTTATATGGGTGTGCTCAGAGGTAAAAATAACCTTTTGTTGTGTTTAGATTTAATCTGTTGGCATTGATCCTGTAAACGCCACATACTTGACTTTGAATGTGCGCCACTATTCACTGTGTCACATTTAAAGTGTATTACCACTATTGATGCCAAGTTGGGATAACACCTGCTTTATATTTACGTGTTCCCATTCACATGTCATAACTCCTGCTGCTGTGGGCAGCGAAGAAGCTTCATTAGCTTCCATCCATAGGCGACATAAAGAGGACTTGTCCCTTCCATTATGCTATCACATAGCATGCTTGTTCTAAAGTGTAAAAGAAAATAGTGACTAAAAAAATTGTTGCTTTTGCCTATGTACCTGACACGTTTGGGATCTATTTACCTGATGCAACCCCATCTTTAATATTTGACTAAAAAAAAACTGAGCATGATCTTGTTTGCACAGTTATTTTTGTGTATTTTTTTTTCCTACAAATATCCATTTGCGCAGATATCGTATGATCTACATAAATTTGCAACTAGCACTTTTTTTTTTAATTATTATTATTCTACAGGGCCATTTTTTTTGGAAAATATTTAAATGTTTGGGGGTTTTAAGCAATTTTCTAGCCAATGTGTTTGCAAAAAATAAAATATTGTTCCTGTCGCAAAGTATTTTACCAATCCTACCTAGCCTCCCCCTATGTAATATTAAGGTGGGGGCTGTGGAAAGTTATGTTTATCTTAATGTGTTAGCAGATTCCATTATCTGTTGTGAACACTGTCTGTCCTAACAAAGGGTTAAAGTCTTAGAAGCATTGTATGTTAATGAGAGGAAGCTTATTCTGTTCCTCTACTTTTACTTTCAAACTGCTCAGAGTAGCCTGGAATCTGCGCAAATGCCTTCACCCAAGAAACAGCTAAAAGTTAAACAATATAGTTTTAAATCATTTTTTGGTATGTTGTATGAATGGGAACACATAACAAACATATGTATCAAAGTTTTTTTCAAATATGACTGCAAAAGTGGAAATACACTTTAAGCCAAGGTGAAACTAGAAACTATTTCCTTGTTTAGTACCTGACCTAATTTTTTTTTTCTTTTGTCTACAGAATGGGGTTTCTGTTAAATCAGGCCGGTCATCCTCATTCCCACTCGCATTCTCACAGTGCGCCAACAGGTTCTTCTCCCAGCCCTCATGGCCACAGCCACGGTAGCCTGGCAGTGCGAGCAGCATTTGTACATGCACTTGGAGATCTTGCTCAAAGCGTTGGTGTTCTGATCGCTGCATACATCATTCGATTCAAGGTATTGGCCCATTGCGAGGGTGCCTTCCATATTTACACATTCAAATGAGGACATTGCATACTTTTGTACATTTGACTAGCAAGTCTTTACTGTATTTCCAGGATTAAATTGCTACTTGTTTAAATTAAGGTGGGGGCTGTGCATATTAGGTTTTGGGTCTTTTTTCTCATTCCAGTTATACATACAGAAACATATACAGCATACGCAAAAATAATATACATCGAGATAGTAGCTCTGGCATATTTTATATTGTGTGCATAGGATCTTTTTTCTGGTTGGTAGCACAGGTTATAATGAGTTTTGGGATATATCAATAAATGGGATTATGGCAAAACAATGAAAATCGGGGTCACTGTGACCTTATAAAATTTGGGATCGCAGAAAACATTTACAGGTCTCATACGATTTATAGAAAAGCTCTACTTTACGTACATTGTTAATTGTAAACAAAGTCAAGTTTACTTTTAATACCATGTTTCATGTTAGACCCTTATTCAGTGTTACATCCCAAGCCCACCAACTACCTGAATTGTGTGGGGAAGGGGGGGTTGCTCCTTAAAGGCTGCTGACCGTTTTTTAATCTGGCTTGGCTTCATGTGGCTCAACCCGCACAGCTTTGTCATTTATTCACAGACCCTGTTAAAGGATAGAGAAACTACAAGCTCCATCTGCCACCGCAGCAAAGGGACTCTCATGGGAATAAAAGTATGGTGACGTCCCTGTCACTGTAACTGAAAGTCCATACCTTGGTACGGAGCGGGATTGGAGGAACAATCTGCAGGAGCCAGAGAATTGCACCTGCAAACTACCAATTGCAGTTGCAATGCTTTACTGGCTCCAATGCAACATAAATAAAGAAATGCACTTTTTTTCTTTTCTTTTATGAATGTTTGCAATTATGTTTTTATTAAAGATTGACTTTGACTATAAGCATCTTTCATCTTTTCTGCTTAGTATTTTATGTGAGGTTTTATGTGCATATTTAAATTAACATCATCTGACCAGCAGAACCCCATGGAGCCATTACATCTTTTAGGGTTTATTCCAGAATGAGAAGAGCTGGCCATCAGAGAAACTTGCTGATGTTTAGACCTCAAACCTGAGATATGCGCTGCCTGTACTGTTGGCAGGGAAGGGGAGAAGGTCCTGAGTACATCCCTGCACATGCACTGACACTATAGTACAGCTAGCTGATGGCTTGATTCTCTTGTGTGCCTTCGTAAAATGATGTGAGCTGTTGCATAACTGTTTTCTAAAAATGCACCTGAGGATGCAAGTCTCAGTAACATGGCTGCTAACATTGTAGCCATAAAGCTATTCCTTTAACTAAACAGTTCTACAGAGCATTACTACGTTAGTTTTCTGCTCTGGAAACGGGTACTACTGACATGACATGAGCTGCCTCTTTGATTGGAGTAACAAAACTAATATGCATTTAACATTTCTGTTTGGACCATATAAGGCCCGTACCCTCACTGCAGCCTGCTTTGGTGACATGGATCAGTTAAAGGAAGGTGTCCCTTGGATAACCATTCCATGACTTATGCAACTGTATCTTTTCATTGCATTGTGTCCTTGGGTTTAAACTTTACACAGCCCTCCCTTCTCTCTGCATCATAAAGAGTCAGTGATACATCAGAAGTACTGCAGTAAAACCCTTCACCTGCCTTCTGACATTAGTCACATGCTGGCTGGAGACCAAATAAGCCGTTGGCCTGTAAATGCCACTGCACCCTGAGGTTGAAGTGTTTATCTGTTAAATACTGTAAAAAAAAATTAGGTTAGAAATATTTTTTTTATTTTTTTAAACATTTTTCACATTAGTCAGTCATTAATGAGAAACAAAACAGTGTTTTTATTAAAGTGGACCCAAACTCTTAAAGTAAGGCTCTTTTATGTTATAGGAAACGTCTAGATATGTGTATTGTCCCTGAGCAGTGCCCTGACTTCCCAAAAGGGTTAAGAATTTTGCACAGTTTTACAGAAAAAGGTGACTGATGTTATTTTCAGCTTCTGTCCTACTTCAAAAACTACAAAAGAAAGGAGAGGAGGCCTTGACTAGTTGACAGGGTATCATATAAATTGGATCTTGATTGTAGGACAGGATTGTATAAGTTACATATTCTGTAAAGCAAAATCACAAAGCATGTAATAAATACTTTTATCTTTCCAGCCAGAATACAAAATTGCTGACCCAATATGTACCTATGTATTTTCGGTACTTGTTGTTTTTACTACCATAAGGCTTATATGGGACACCGTACTTATAATACTTGAAGGTGAGCATATTCCTATAGACGGTACTGTACTTTCTTGGTTTACTGATGTGAAGTTGAATTTAGCAGTGCTGTTCTTTTCCTTGTGTTTTTTTTATTTCAAGTAGTTTTTGTTTAAGTAAAGTGAACGAAAGAAAAACTTGGAACAATAAACAAAGTGCAATTGCGTATCAAAAGATACAATGTAACAGAATTAAAAACAGATTGAAAGTACAAGGCTGCCCAGTGGTAATTAGGGTACAGTTGGTTTTTAGAAATCCAGCCATTGAAGTCAGCATTAGGAAAAGAAGTAAGTGGAGAAAGGGAGACAAGTAGGAGCCCAGTGCTATAATGCGAGGAAGAAGTTGGCTTCAACAGTAGCCAAAAAAAAAAGAGTGGGGGGGCGCCGGGAGGTCAGTGTTTGTTGCACCAAAGTACGACTTAAACAGTTGTAGGTGACAGGACTTGGCATGAAGTAAGTAAGATTTTAAGTGCAGAGGTACCCTGAAGAGAAGTGGAGGAAAGAAAGAGGGAACAAGGAAGTAGAGATCTTGGAGGGGAGGGGGACAGGAAAGGGAGGAAAGAGCGGTGTTCTTTTCTTATGGACAGTTTAACATTCCCTGTCCTCCTTTACCTGAGCATTTACAAAACAGTCCTGTGACCAGATCTATTTTAGAAGTTGACACCAGTATGAGTGACCATACATGGCCTGATGCTGCCCCAAAAAGGACATAAAAATGTGATGCTTATGGAAGGATCAGTGATGTAGAAGTACCTTAGGCGGTGATAATAATAACTACTAAACGTTGGAAATGTTTGTTATCTGATATTTAGCAACTTGCTGAGCAGAGGGGAAAAAAGTGTCTGCTCAATGCCCATTGCTGCTGGTAAATGTCACCTGAAAAATCAAATCTGCCTGTGTGGCCAGATTAAATGTATATGTTTGCACTACACATGTGGCCCCATGTAAAATATCACCACATCCAAGCTGAGCACAGTGCTGTAGTGGGGAGGCCCACAAAACACTTTACTAACATACATCTGAGTGATATGCACTGTATAATTATCAGTAACGATTAGTATATCCAGCTCCAGCCTAATATAAACAGAAACTCTAATAGGTTTGGGTCAACGTTATTTTTTTAAAAATGTTTATTAACTGATTTTGTATATATATTTACTCATGATCTGCATAAAAGTTTTACAGATAAATATTCAGTTTTGGTTACTTCTATAAAACCGTGTTTTGTTTGATTTTTTTTTTAGAGCTTACTGTGCTTTGTACTAAGAAACCCCAGCACCACTGCTTCCTTTTCTGACGTTAAAAATTATATTCTATTATAGATTCCCTTTTTATCGGGTAATCACTCAAATATTTAAATTTGCTTTAGTGAAAGTCCTGCTTTTATTACTTTTATATTTTTTTTAACATCCATTGGTTGGCTTCTAACCTTATGCTGTTATTGAGAAAATTGCAGCTGCCCATTTAACATAGCAATGAACAGGTTACTGTGCTGCTTATATTGCAGACTCTTCATTGCTGATTAGTAATTCCAGGCTTATCTGTAAATACAGACATGTTCAGAGCAGTCTATGGCAAGCCTTGCCAAATCACCACAGGCTTGAGTCATTTCCATATTTTGTGGGGTCCTTACATTTTGAATAGCAGGTTATACACTGAGTGGCCAGATTATTATGACCACCTGACGTTTGTAAAATGCGCTGAAGTTGCTAGAGGGCCAGACCATTATAAATAGGGAAGCAGGTTGTTTACCACGACAGTAGAAGTGATTTGTTTCTGAAGATATGGGTAAACAACGCGATTTAACAGCCTTTGAACGTGGGATGATTGTTGGCGCTCGGAGCCATGGAGCGAGTATCAGCAAAACAGCAGAATTCGTTAAATGTTCAAGAGCAGCTGTTGTTAAAGTGTTTAAAGACTGGACTGTCAGCCGAAAATCTGTGTCTGAACGTGCGAATTGTGGCCGTCAGCGACTAGTCAATGTTAGGGCAGAACGGAGAGCGGCAAGACTGGTACAAGACAAGAGAAGGGGCGACAGTGCAGTGTCAGATTCCTCGCATCACCTTTCAACATCTCGTGGAGTCACAAGGCGGGCCAACGAAGTACTGATGGGGTGGTCATAATAATCTGGCCACTCAGTGTATGTCCAGACTATATCTCTTCATATATGCAAGGTTTAAGGGCCCAGTCACACAATATCCAGTGCGTTCCGACACGGTTCGAGCTTGGAACATACTGGATCGCATAAATCAAGCCCAGCCTTGATCTGGAGGAGGCATGGTGGTGGCATTCATATCAATGGCACCGCAGAGAACCCCATCCCCCCGCTGTGCGATTGCTCGTACCAGAATGCATGGTACTGGAATGCCCTTTGTTGCCTGCACTATTTTTTCTGATTGTACTGCACCAAAACGCAGGGCATTACTGTATCACGAGTTCTTGTGCCGGCGATCAAACTATTGGGGGGGGGTGTCTACGGTGCACCACTATGAATGGAACCACCACGCCCCCTCCTTCTCCAGAACGCGGCCCGGCTTGATGTATGCAATCTACTGCGTTCCAGGCTCGAACCGTATTGGAACACACTGGATATGGTGTGACTGGGCCCTTAAACCTTGCATATATGAAGAGATGTAGTCTGGACATATAAAGTGTATAACCTGCTATTCAAAATGTAAGTAATCTGAAAATCACTCAAGCCTGTGATTGGGCAAAGCTTGCCATAGACTGCTGGAGTGACCTGAAATAAATTGTTAGTATGCATGAATCCAGTTCCTCTGTGTGATTGTGGTTTGCATTAATCATCTTGCACTGGCTGGCTATTGTGCAATAGCTCTTTAGGGAGTGTCGGCTGAAAATAGCATTAAAATTTTAGGAAAGCAATGTGGATGTGGAACACTTTAAGACATGACTGTCCCATCTTATGAAATTCTACTTTTATTGCAGGAGTTCCAAGTCATGTGAATGTGGATCAAATCAAAGCTGAACTAATGAAAATAGAGGATGTGTACTCCGTAAAAGACGTTAATGTCTGGTCACTGACTACAGGAAAATCTGCTGCCATAATCAATTTACAGCTTAGTAAGTTGGCGCTTAACTTTGAATGTATTTCTAAAATAGATTCCACAATGCAGCGTTAAATCACTACAAAGCTTGCCTAACAGGAGTTTATGATGGAGTATATGTATCTGATCAGTCAGCTGGAGCAAGCAGTTTGTAATTCAGTCTTTCTGTTTTAGACTGAATATAAGTGTGTTCTGAAAGTAAGAATATTATGAAATATTGTAAAATGAAGCTTTAGTGTACACAGAATTTTAAGAGCAGTGGAAAACGAATGGTACAGACTGCATTCTAGGTTTGCCTTGTGTGCTCCCTTTACTAAGCATTAAAGTCTTTGGTTAAAACAAATGCAGTACATTCCCAATTCCCCATGTTTTGTTTCTTTAAAAACTCTGCAAGTACATAAGACTACCATTCGATCCTGGCATGTGAGCTGACAAGATTGCCTCTGCTGTAGTGTTAGCCCTGGCCGAGTTCCTCCTGGCAGGGGGAGAGTTCTAATGCTGTGGGTATTTGTTTCTGATGCCATGAGTTAGCCTCTTATCATGGTGTATTGTTCTTTTGTCTTCCTATAACATAGTGCTTTGTTGTCTGGATTATTCAGGATCTCAGTGTGGATTAAATATGGCGCAATGCTGAATATCATCTTTCACTAATATTCTTTTTCAGGCCCTGGCTCAACATCAAAGTGGGAAGAGGTACAAAGCAAAGCCAGGCAGATATTATCAAACACATATGGAATGTACAAGTGCTATATTCAGATGCAAAGTTACAGAGAGGAAGATAGCACAGCCTGCGCCACCTGTTCCAGTGCCTAAGTCCTATGGACTGATTCTGCCTTACCACAGACCCAGCAGAGTACAGCAATATATACATTCACCTTGAACTCTTTCTGAAGTGGAGGTGGTGCCATCTGCCGGGAAGCATACTTTTTATGGCAGCCTGTATTGCACCATTGTGAACTTATACATATAGACCAATTTTAAAATGCAGTTTACAGATATAAGCAAGTTTTGCACATACCTCCAACCTGGGGTGAAGAAATGAAGCCCTGACACGAGGATCCAAAGAACACTATTTTGGTGATCATATCTAATGACTTGTTTTGCCGATTTATGGCGGTTTGAATCTTTATTTGATAGGACACGACACGTTTTGATTAAACAGGTGTATCAGCATTTATCATTTGGCTGACAAGAGACCTATTGCCTGGCAATTCTTTTCACATTCCGAAAGAGTTACAATTCTCCATAAAATGAACTTCCGTCACGGGCCAGTTTTATTGGCTTTCTGTTCCAAAGGTTAAGCAGTTCAGTTATATTTAAATCCAGATGAAGCACAGTCTCCATAAACCATCACTGTTATCACACACACACAGCAGGTTTACAAGGCAGCCTCAGCGGGACCATAGAACATGCTTCATGGATTCGATTCTTCCACTTTTCTGTTCATAGGGTCTCCCAGCTGCAATGCCTCCTTCGTCTCGCACTGTCCTGATCACTTATAAGGGAACATTCACTCAGGTTTATACAATGACCTGAAGGTTTAATGATGGTCTTAAATAGTGTTTATTCAACCTTTTTGTGCTGTTAAAATTCACCTTGACAGCCCTGCTCTCCAAGTAATAAGTGTTTAAAGAAACAGTGTTGTATGTACAATATGCCTCGCAGATTACCTTTTAACTTCCTGCACAGCTACGCCAGTGTTGTACTTATTTTTTAATCTTGAAATATACATTTTAATCCGTGTGCTGTGCTGACAAACAATTATATTTTTATAACGGAGAGGTGGTCAGTTAGTTTTGTGTAAATTGTTTGGCACGGTAGTGTTGATAAATATTTAAAACTGAATTCTAGGCAAGCAGCTAAATACATATGTCGGTAAAACCAGAAGTGTGAGATGTTATACCGGCAAATTGATGTATTCTGTGAAGTCAGTTATGTGGTCTAGGCAGTCCAGCCTTTTTCTTCCTCCACTGGAGTCACAGGCACAGTCAAGTACACTTGTCAAAACACCCTGGCCTGTTGATTGGTTAATTAATGAACTCATTATCCTGCCAGTATGTTCACATCCAACACATGAGCACTACTGCAGAGCCAGATTGGATCCTAGTGCTAGCCATCCATCTCCCAGGCTGCAAGGCAGGGGGTTACATGAGGCTGTTACTAAGACCTATTTAGGTTTCTAATCTAGCTACATTTTTATTAATGAACGCATAACTGCATTTGCCTACAGATCAGTTTTTTTTTTGTGGTCCTAAAAGTTAGACACCATATGACCGCTCCTGCTGGTATTTATAACTAGCCGATTCACCTAACCCTGCTTATAGAATGTGAACACTATTTCAGAAAGGGACTGTTCACCTTTATTGCGTCAGCGTATATGACGATAGCCATCCTTGATTGGGTCAGACTCCATATGAGCAGTGTTAATTCATGAATGGAAGAACCAGATTTACAATAAATATATATCTGACAAAGGTTCTATTCCATATCTTGCACTGGGAAAATGGCACAATATTTAAAGGGTCATTTAAGGAGTGGACACCGCTGGGCTGTCATCCACTAGTTTCTTCAGCACTGAGATTCCCCTGTAAGACCCTCTGCACTGCCCCTGTGCCTCCTGCTGCCTCATTTCCCAAACTGGACAGACCTGGTTGGCTTTATAGTTGCTTAACTGTCACACACAAAAAATTAGATATCCTATTTTAATTATTCTTCCACACCGGATGTGTTAAGAAGTGAAGAGAAGTCAACTCAGACAGTGTTTTCTCCAGTGCTACTGAAGATGAGAGTAAATATGTTTATAGATATTCAAGCCGGATCTCTGATAAATCTCATAGCTGTAGTAGGGTTATGCTCTTTTGTAAATACTATTGAACATATACCCATCTTACTTTTATTGTACAGATACTTGAAGAATCTCATTTCAGTACACAATACGACCTGTCGGAGCTATGCCTACTCTGCAACATTCGTTTGTGTTCACTCTATGTGCAGTAATGCTTTTTTTTTTAACCTATGCAGTATTATAGCTAAACCACAGGGGTCCAAATAACCCTTTTACCAGCTCACCTTGCAGGGATATTCTATCTCTAGATAACAAGTAAGATCAATCCTTTCAGTGCTAACGATATCCGGTTAGTATTGCAGTTGTGCTAAAGTCTGCAAGTGCCATTATCTGAGATCCATGTAATCCACTGAAGCTAGAGTTTACAGAGCTTCTCCCATGTAGAGTGGGACAATCCAGTTCCAAAAACTTCTTAGGACTGACATTTTTTACATTAGGCTTTCTGTCTTTGAGTGGCAGCAAGACATCTGCAGTGGATTTGTCTTCTAATAACTCGGCTGAAGTCCTGAGCAGGAGGTAGACTTTGTTTATGCTTAAAAGTAGACATACAATTCCTGCTGTCTTCTTCAGTCATACAAGAAACATCCGATTAAAATTCGCTAGTGCAGTAGTAGTAAACGTGTAAACAGTGCACTAGGCTGCCACAAAAGTTGTACAACACTATAGAGTCTATTTATTAACAATTCGCAGAGCCATTCGCCCTGCAAATCTCTGAGTATGTATGTTCTGTGCTGGGAGGGGCAAAAATGAGCTCCATCTAGAGGCCATAATTTGGTATTACATTTGACCTGAAAAGAAAATATACCAAGACTGTTGTTTTTTTTGCCTGTTTGCACAGAATGAACGTTCATAGAGTGAAAAGCTCTGCCAGTTGTTTATAAATAGACCCCTATCGGGCAGGTGAGGATTTGTGAGTTAGCATTACTGTCTATTGGGCCATTAATGTGTTACTGTGAAGAAATACAAATTGCATGGTGTATTTTTTTTTTTCCCCCTCTATCCAAAACTGACCACAAAGTAATGTATTTTTAACATTCTCCTATGGTAAGTCTCAGGACTTCTATAAAAAGAAATCACACAAGCCTAAACAGAACAATAAACCTTTGATTATTGCCAAAGTAAACAAACTGGTGTTTGGGAGAACATTTAGTGTTTCTGCATTCCTTTCCTCTTAAGACCCTGTTGGTGAATTGAGCCTGTAACAGTATAATTCATTTTATACAGAGTCCATGATATCACCGCCCTGCTTCAGAAAGATGATCTTGTGCTCCAACCCAGACATGATTCGGATACCTCTGAGTCACTAACACAGATCGGTTTTCCGGATACTGGATTTCAGCTTTGCCATTCAGACAATGACGACGCACTTTGGGTGCCATGCTAGCTGAATGGATGGGCTTCTTTCTACAAATAAATGTAAATACCAGGAGGAGAGTGAGCGGGTTCAGAGTAACCTGTGTGCTTTCTGGTTTAACAGTTGTTTTTTCTAGGCTTGGATGGAGTGGAGAAGGATTAGAACTGTTAGGTTTTTACAGCTTTATTTTAGAGATTTCTCTTCACATCTTGCCCTGCTGACAACGAAAGAAAAACATGTTTTTTTTATTACTACCTGTGCTGCTCTTCGAGAGATTTACCATCATTTCCTGTCCTGCTGGCAAGGATTTACCAGACAGGAGATGAGGGTAAATCTCTCTAACGGAGCCCCAGATAGCAGTAAAGTCTGACAGATTATAACCCTTCCTCACCTTTTCAAAAGTAAAAGTGTTTAGCTAGACACATACTTTAAGCCTTCACATTTGTTCTTTATGAATTCGATTGCTCCAAATTTTTATAAAGCCAAGGAATATAAAAAGGACCTTGCCAATGTCACAACAATCATTGGACACATCACCGATGGTATGGGTGGCTATGAGACTTGTAAATATACATATTAGGCACAGATCCCGGTATGCACTGTACATGTATAACTAAACTGGAAACACGAGTGAAAAGATGTACTGAAATTGGTTTCCTGTGTTATCGAATTGTTTTAGTAATTACATTAATTTTTTTTCCTTCAAATAAAATGTATAACTTTCCAAAATAATCACACTGCTAGCATATTATTTTTATAGCAGGGAATGGTACTGAATCTGCACAGTACGGTTGTAAGAAAATATTTATTTGCTGAATCAACTAATAAATTGTTGATCAAAAATGTATTACTGCAATAAAATTTTCAAAGAGACTGAAAGTGTTACTCCAGACTCAGGACTAAATACTGGATTATAAACTACATGGCCTATTCTAGTTTACAATTAGAAACTAGAATAGACCAGGATTAGAAACTACGCACAATCTTTCATAGTAAAATTGTTATTAAACCCTCAGCGTTTTCTGCATATATCTACTTCTAGCAAGCACTAGATATATGCAAAGACATTTAAAAAAAAACAAAAAACTTTTCAAACGAGTTAAAACTTACCGCGCTTGACAGGCACTTTTTACCTTTACCTTCACTCCCCATATAAATTCTCATAGACTTCTATGGGTAATTAAAGGAGAACTATGAGGTGAGCGCTTCTCACTCACCTCCTAGTTCTAGCCGACCTGTGACAATCAGACTGTCACAGGTCGGCTCAGTAGATCGGGAAGGGAGCAAACACATACCGGCGTTCGCTCACCTCTCGATCCTGTCACGGCTCTCTGCCGTGACGGGAGGGACTGGATTTCCCCCCTCCGATCCTCCAGCGCTGACTGGCGGAACGGACGGGGGAGGGTACAGCTGGCTCTGTCTCTAGATAGGCAGAGCCAGCTGTCACTCACGCAGCTGGGCGGATCCAGGCATAATTGTCGGGATCCGCTGCGGCGTCTCAGTATACTGCGAGCTGTGGCGTCTCAGTATACCGCGAGCTACTGAGCTTAGGGTGACGGGAGGACGCTAGTTTGTGTCCTCCCGTTACCCTTAGGAGAACTATGGGGAAAAGCCCTAGACCCATAGTTCTCCTTTAAGTAGTTCTGAGCTAAACAAAGGCTTGCAGGACACAGGTCTTAAACAGTCCTCTACTAACATCTTTGTGGATGGTGTAATCCCTTGTTGAAACATAGACCCCTACTATTGATAAGACCTTACAGTATTACCTTTTACCTACGTGTAAATAATACCAATTTTGAGCCTCAAATTTATGTTTATCTCTAGCATTGTAAATTTTAGAATAGTCACCTACATTTCATAGTTTAAAATGTTCAGCAAGAGCTTGTCTTGTCTTTACAGCAATAGGTTGCCAATAATCTAGAGGTAGAGGGACGTTATTGACTTTGTGTATCATGTGATTAGCATACAAGAAGGTCCACTATGACTTAGCTCTTCTAACAGTTGTTATTGTCTAAAAGTCTAGATTAAGTTATAGTAGTAGGTCCGCTACAACTTAGCTTTGCTAACATTTGGTATTGTCCAAAAGCCTAGATTTAGCATAGTCGGAGGTCCACCATGACTTGGCTCTACTAACAGATGGTATTGTCTAAAAGCCTAGATTTAGCATAGTAGGTCCTAAATCTACTTGGCTCTAACAGTTCTTATCATCTAAAAGCCTAGATTTAGCATAGTAGGAGGTCCACCATGACTTGGTGCTACTAACAGTTGGTATCATCTAAATGCCAACTTGACATCAACATTATTTAATGGATGTGGCCCAGTTCAGTAAACCAAAACATTACACTGGTGACATATGTACACGTTTCGCACATATCTCCAATTTAAGTCATATTTGGGGAAACTTGCATTCAACAATCAAAGTAGAGTTATTCATTATCTATGTATATCCATGTAACTTCTTATAAGCTAAAAGGTCTCTGGCATTCAAAGATGGTGGTACAGATGCTAAAGCCTTTTGGAAATGTTCTTGTTTCACACAGGTAGCTTGTAATTCACTTTCCTGTAACGCAACCAGGGCAGCCTGCAGGCAAAAGATAACATATACATATCAGAATAACACGTTTGCATATTTACTCTTCTATGTTTGTTTGCCCATCTCATACAACCACATCTTGCTAAAGCAGTAATAGGTTTGGTACAAGAAGCAAGGGGAGTACATTATATTGTAAAGCTCATTTCTAGCTAAAGGTTTTTTGTTGGTAGAGTCAGAAACTCTAGGACAGCAGTAGGCAACCTTGGCACTCTAGCTTTTGTGGAACTACAAGTCCCATGAGGCACTGCAAGACCCTTGACAGCACAGGCATGATGCACAGTGGCAGACACAAAATGGGATTTATGGTTTAGCCCTGTTTATGGTTTAGCCCTGAGTGTGGAGTGCTGAGGTTGCCTAACCATGCTCTAGGATAGCTCTGTCCCCATTAGAGGGATATCCTATCACTTCCTGTCCTCGTGACACAGTCTTTAGGACAGGAAGTGAGGGTAAATCTCACCAACTGGGAAACAGTCAGCAACAAAAACCTGACAGTGGTTTTAACCCTTCCACATTGTATACAAAATAATATTTTTTTTTTAGCTGCAGTAAGGATAGATAGATATTAGATAGATATTATTTATTTTTAAATACAGTTAGTATGTAACAAAAGATCTAACAGCCATTTATTAACCTCACAATCATCAGTAAGATTTGGAATTCACAAAATAGGTTCCACATTCACTGACCTAAAATATCACTGCAACACTGAACTGATTCTCACCTCTTTACACAGATTGTGAAGATCAGCACCAGAGTAAAATGGAGTATCGGCTGCCAGGCTTTCTAGGCACACATCAGGATGTAATGGTACATTGTTCGTGCAGATTTGCAGGATACATAGCCGCGCCTGTCAAACATAACAGAGAGAAGACAATGAACAAAACAGAACCAACAAAGCAGGAGAGACAAAAGTAGTACAATAAATAAAACATAAAAGAACTTGAAGTATCTTTTCACTGCACCTTGTTCCCTACTTTCATCATTCAATGCCAGGCTATTTTTAACCACCTCCCATCCGCTGGCCTTAGGTAAACGGGAACCTTATAGGAGCGGGTGGGCATCTTTAGACGTCCTTCCCCTTCCCCCCTCATGCTTGGCACCCAGCGCGCACACGAGTGGGGTAAGTGTCAAAAATGTAAACAGCCAGCGAAGGCTGTTTACATTCAAGAGATCGGGCGTCTGATCGCTTGTATTAGGTGCGGATTTAAACCCCCCCCCCCCCCCCGCTGTCGCCGGTCCCGAGATCCGCTGTGCCCGGTGCGGCTGGGACCGGCACAGCTGCTCTGTCACAGGAGATCCCTGATGTCTCCATAAAGAGGACCTGTCATGTAAGTTGGCTATCACATAGGGGGCTTCTTAGCGAAAACGACGATTGCCACTATTGTGCCACATATGTAACATATCACCGCGAACGTCAGAGTACGAACAATACTTTTAGGGTCATTAATCACTGAGAACACTAAACTGATGAGCAGTAAAAGCGTTGCCTATGGCCAATTTTCAGTGTGGCCGTTTATTGCGATTTTGTGGACGCGCGCAATTTTAAGGCTTGACATGTTTAGTGTCTATTTAGCAGACGTGACCCCGTCTTTTATATTTTACAAAAAAAATTGGGGTGATAAATGTTGTATTACAGTTCATAGAGAAACAGGGGTTTTTTTTCAAAATTGAAGGTGCTTTTTTTGTTATATAGTAAAAAGTAAAAAACCCCAGTGGTGATTAAATACCACCAAAAGAAAGCTCTATCTGTCCCACAAAAAATGGTATAAAATTAATTTCAGTACAGCGTTGCATGACGGAATAAATGTCAGTCAAAGTACCGCAGCGCTGAATACTGAAAAATGGCCTGGATGGGAAGGGGGTTTAACAACCTGGTCTTCAAGTGTTTAATATATATACAGGTGAAACTCGAAAAATTAGAATATCGTGCAAAAGTTCATTTATTTCACTAATGCAACTTAGCCGTCTACCAGGAGATTTTGGAGCACTTCATGCTTTCTTCCGCAGACGAGCTCTATGGGGATGCTGACTTCATTTTCCAGTAGGACTTGGCACCTGCCCACACTGCCAAAAAATTTCTGAGATTGTGGATCTGGGTTTTCATGAGCTGTAAGCCATAATCATCACAATTATGACAAATTACGGCTTGAATTATCTTGCTTTGCATGTAATGAGTCTATCTCATATATTAGTTTCACCTTTTAAGTTGCATTAGTGAAATAAATTAACTTTTGCACGATATTCTAATTTTTCGAGTTTCACCTGTAAACGGTTAAACTGTTACAACCACAGATCAATGTCAGTGCCCATCGGCAAGTTCTATCCCATAGCAGACAATTCTTTGACTTCAAGGCTAGAGTATGTGAATGACAAAACTATGCTGAATAGAATTCTGAATTACCATCAGCTTTTGACCATCATATTTAAATAGGTTATAATAGTCCGATAAGGAACCTGGTAAGCAGACTTGGCATCAGATTTGTTTTTATGTTAAAGGCAAAGTCCACCTTTTACAAAAAAATCAATGCAAACTTAGTGAACCTTGAGGACCAGAGCGGAGCAATACTAATTAGCTGCCAAATCCAGAAACTGACAATTACCTTTTCGTCTGGTGGTGGAATATAGAGCAGTTTATCCAGTCGGCCTGGTCGCATCAAAGCGTCATCCAGAACATCCGGCCTGTTTGTAGCTGCCACGATCATTACTGATTTATTAACTACCTCTTGGAACTTGGCCTGGGAGTAACACATTAAAAAAAACATCTAAATTTACTGTAGAAGACTTTTAATGGAATGAATTCTCTAAGCAATACCAAATGATAACTAAACACACATATGGCATTAAATCATTTCCACTAATCCATATGTTTGATCTGCAGTGTTACATTTGCAATTGTTATTATACAATAAAACAGAAGTGGCATTTTACATCTCCCTGTTGCAAAACTATCCTAAGAACTGTCTCAATATAAAGAAAAATATTATTTAAAAACAACATAATATGTATTGTCTCTAATCAAACTTTCAAGGAGCTCTCTGTCCTGCTTCTATTCAAGTTGAAAGGGAAAACTTACAGGTTCATCGTGTGAGTTATCACAATCGCCTTCCAACAATTTCTGGCTCCCTCTGCGTTCTGTAGTCTTCAGCCCAACTCCATCCAATTCATTTAGGAGAACTGAAAGGATTCTCTCCGGTATGCCAGAGCCTGTCCGACCCTCTGATCGACACCCTACTATAGCATCAATCTCATCAAGAAACACAATTGCGGGTGTGCTGGCTCTTGCCTGTCTGAACAGCTGTAAAGTTAAAAAAAAAAAAAAAAAAAAAACAAGGGGTAAACCATTTGGATTTAATTTTCTAACCTTTATTAGGAAAATGAAATCTAAACTCAAATGAAGTCTCCAATATAAATATTTACCTGTGCCAATGTCTTTTCTGAGTCACCCACATAAGGTGAGAAGAGATCAGCTCCACTGACTGAGAAGAAGGCACAATGGCAGCTCGTCGCTAAAGCTTTTACCAACGTGGTTTTAGCGCATCCTGGTGGCCCATAGAGCAGCACTCCTTTTGGTAGTGTCAGGCCCATTCTCAGGAAAGCTTCAGGATACTTCATAGGCCACTCAATGCTCTAGACAAAGAGAAAATGTTTTTATAAAGCAGCTGCCATTCTCCAATTCCCAGAAATCAAATAAAAATAAAACAAGGGAGAGTGAAAGACCATGGTTATATACTCTGATGGCCAAACACTCCAACTTTCAGAGTAAAATAGAAAAAGAGAACTAAACATTATATTTTTACATACTCCTTCAGAGAATATATGCAAAGTGTTCTACAAAGGCATAACTTTCACAAGGCAAATTACAAATGACTATCTTGCCAGATAGTAGTATCGCATATTGATAGTAACTAATATTGCATAAGATCTTTCCATTATCTCCAGAGCTCTGTAGGCAATGCCACCAGGAAATAGGGACCATACCACTTATGCTTTCTAAAAGACCATCTAGAACCTGATCTTAACTATTTACTATCCAATTCAAAACTTTCATGACCAAGAGGAAAAAAAAAAAATCACTGACTATCCATTTAGATAAATCAACTCTAAGGGGGTTATTCACAAAGCTGCCAAAGGCAGCCGAGTGAATAAACCAGCCGAAGTGAAGTGAGCCAAACTACATGCGGATATTCAGTCCGGCTGATTTCAGGAGTACATCAGCTGCCTTCGCTCAGCCGAACATGCTCTGCTGGATCGGCTGAACCGAAGTTCCGGCAGCTCACTTGGTGCTGTTCGCCCCTATTCTCATAGGGGCCAAACGGCAGTGAGTGAATAGCCAAATGCCTTGAATATTTGTATAAATGTAAATACATATTAAAATGTAACAATATTTTTAAAAAACCCCACACAATTAGCTGTCACTGCTAGCTCCGCCCAACAGTTTCCTATTGGCCAGAACCTGCTAGAGTCATCTAGCAGGTCCTGGCCAATGAACAACTGGGCGGAGCTGGCCATGATGTCACGACCGGCTCCGCCCAGTTGTTATTCCTTAATGACAGATCAGTGTCCCCAGGTGGGGACGCTGATCTGTCATTACAACTGGGCGGAGCCAGCTGTGAGATCACGGCTGGCTCCGCCCAGCTGTCATTTGTGTGGCGAAAGGCTGGCCTTTGGCAGGCCGTTCGCCCTGCTTTGGGTGTCACTTCGGCTCAGTCGAGCTGAAGCATATACCGAGCCGCTTGGCCGCTGCATGGGCTATAGTGAATAGCCGGTACAGGAGCCCTTAGGTTTCACTGAACCAAATGGTTCGGCGGCCGAAGTATCAGCCAAAGCTATGGCTGAATCCTTCGGCTCCTACGTGAATAACCCTTCCCTACAAAGAGAGCAATTAATACTTACATCTCCCATGACCTGCACTACCAAACATCTCTGGGATGGCAAAACAAAGTTTGCTCAAAGATCTTCAGCATCCCGCACACGTCTGGGTGTGTTTGATACCTGCCTCCTTGCTGCTGTGGATCCTTTTGCCAGCCCCTGTGTAATGTAATGATGTAGGGAGCAGCACCCCTGTGTACTGTAATGATGCGAGGGGGAAGCACCCCTTTATACTATAATGACATAGGGGACAGTGTCACTGTTTACTGTAATGACATAGGGTACAGTGTCCCTGTGTACTAAAATACAGAACCCCTGTGTACTGTATTGACATCAGGAACAGTGCCCCTGTGTACAGTAAATGATGTAAGGGGTGGTGGGGGAAACCACAGTGCACAGGAAGATGGCAGCATCCGACCCTCCTGGAAGTGTTGAATACTGAAGATTTTTGAGCATGCTTCATCATACAACCCACAGAAGTTCGGCATCACGGGCAGTGGGACAGGCAAGTATTAATTGCTTTTTTTTTTCCTCTATTCAGAGAGGACTGCATTTCAGTTCTAAAAATGGTGACAAAGCTATTTTAACAAAACTAATGTCCTAAATCTCTGAAATACAAAAAATATTTCTCCCCACTCCCCTTTCATAGTACACTGGCTGTTGGCAATATCTAGAAAATCTGAATTAACTTCAGATATAGGTCTGGATAGATAACAGAGCTTTTGATGGGAATAAATAATTTTCGTCAACTCTTAACTGGAAAATTCTCTTCCACCCCTCTCCCTTTTTATCGATTCCCTTCTGTGTCCATGCCTCCCAAATACTTTGTCTACCTGTCCTTTAATGTTGTTTCAACACACTACAAAAAAAGGTTATATATAATCTACAATTAGACAAGCAGGGATACTACATGTCACCATCCGTGCAATAGATTACCTTGCTTTTTATGAAAGTGACCACTGGAGTATTCTTACTGCGATTCATTGTGCACAGTTTACCTTGGTGTTACCCATCATTGCAATACTTGTATGCTACTCCAACAACAGTTCTCTTCTTTAATGTCTAGAGGTGCACCGAAATGGAAATTTTAAAACCGAAACAAAACCGAAATAAAATTGTCAGGCTGAAACCGATACTGAAAATGTTTTTTATTTTAATGTTTTCAAATTTTTTAAAGATTTTATTTTTATTTATTTTTTATAAACTTTAAAAAAAAATAATTATTTTTATTTAATTATTCATTTTTTATTAAATATTTTTATTTTTTACATTACTTTTAGGGGCTTCAGGGAAATATTGGGGGTCAGACCCCTGATATTTCCCTTTTAAAATAGAAAAAGAGATTGAGAACACAGAGTCCTCAATCTCTTTTTCTGTAGCCCCTGTTATCAATGAACAGCAATCCTCTGAGTGTTCCTGTTCATTGATAACTTGAGAATATGGTATGTTTACTATAACCACAACTATGAATGAACAGGAAGTGAGGTAGATCACTTCCCATTCATTCATAATTGAGGATATAGTTAACATACCATGTCCTCAATTATGTGCAAACACTTGCTCTCCTCTCTGTGACACGCTGTCACAGGAGGTTGAGCGAGCAGTGTAGGAGGAGAGCCCAGCCTCCTGTGACAGTGCGGCCTGTCTCTGCCCACACACCGCTCTGCCGGACTGCGATAGGAGGCTGAGTGGTGTGGGAGGAGAGACGCCGGCCACTCACAGCGCTCGGCAGGCTGTCACCCACTTTCTCTCCTCCTCGTTGAGACACAGAGCAGCGCCCAGCAGGGAGGAAAGAAACCTGGGATGCGCCGATGTATAGGCAGGAAAATGGCACTTTCGGCATTATGCCAAAAGTGCCATTTTCAGGCGATAAGTTTCGGCAGCCGATATATCGGTGCATCCCTATTAATGTCTCAATTTGTTTTAACATCATCATTATAAAAAAAAAAAGTAATTTTAAAAAATGTGTAAAGTAAGCATCTTCAATGTGTAAAGTAAGCATCTGTATTATAATAATTACAATAAGTTGCAGAATATATGACATTTCTATTGTTGCAGGCGTAAGGAATCCTCATACAAAACATCTTATACATTTAGGTATTGCACTGCTTTTTACCTGTTTCAGTAAGACTTTAACATTCTCGAGGCCTCCTATTTTTTCCCAGTAGACTGGCCTAAACTCCACCTTTCCAATCGCACTACGAGCGGTTGAAGGCCGAATCTTTTTAAAGGCTTCATAAAAATGTGCTCTAGTGACTTGATGCTCCTGACTGTCCTGAAAAAAAACAATATCATATATTAAAATGGCTTCTTTATTATTATTTATCAGTTTATGCACAAAACAAAGCTTTTACTGCAGGGGGTTTATCAATTAACACCGTTAAAGAGAATATGTGACCAGGTTATAGACATTCAAATGTTACCATGCTTAACAAGCATTAAAGTGACTTTAAGCAAGCACTCACTGGCCTCTGCAGTTGCAGACACTGTAGAGAAATATATTCTCGAAGTTCACAACAGATGCATTAAAGTCAGTTCCACTCTGTTTAGCTGCTTTAGCATCACCTTGGCAGCCCCTTTGCCTTCCAATATAAACACAGAGAATTTACTTTAAGCTGCAGAGAAACAGACTGGAACAGCCTCAATGCTTCTGCAGTGAACTCTGCGTAGAAATTACTCCACAGGTGCACTTTATTTAAAGTAAAATTGTTAAAAACTTAAGCAATTAGAGTATGCTTAGTTCTTAGTCCCCAATCCTTGGCCCCATTGTACATCCCCAAAACTCTACAATAAATGTTTTTGTTCTGTTTTGCTGTTGTCTTGTTTGCAAGGCTTCTATAGACACATAGCTCCTTAGTTATGAGATTGCAAGTTGTTTAGACTACTCCTTTGTTGGGATTCATTTCTCAGTTCCTTGATGTACTTTCATTATCTGGCAATCTACTGTATTATTTTGCTTATATGCGTCAACACTGTCTCAGCTTATACCTGTTGCCCCATGCGATCAATAAAGAAATATTGTTTAAAAAAAAAATGATGTATGATGAAAAAAATACATACGGTAAATCAGGTGTTAGCTTCACTAAAACTCACGTCACAATGACCAGTAGATCCAAAGATATAGGCAGTTATATTTATATGCAAATCTTCATATTTTCTAAAGAAAAATAATTCCAGGTTGGCCCTGCCCCTAACACGTAGCTTGCCTCGCCTCTCTATTGTTCCTTTAATAACATGTCTACCCTATTTAACCCAAAATCCTCCATACTACAAATCGAATCTATACACAATACAGGCACTAATTTACTTTGTATGCATGTTTACTGTGTGTTGGCCTAAGAAGTATTATCAAACCAATTCCATCTATTGTCTGTCACATACAATGCTGTTTTAACACCTCTCTCTGGGCAGGTTATTAACACCAAGCTCCAATGAACACCTGGTTGCGACTAACAGGTTATGTGGATTGGAGCAACATTCACCATATTTATTCACAGATTATGTTTTGTACAAGTCATTCTGAATTGAGAAAGCTGGTTAGATGACCAGTGAAACGTCTTCAAAAAAAATACAGCAAGTCCAGTAGCCTTAATTTTTACAGATATACCATGACCTGGATGAATGAGAACCTTCACAGACACAATTGCAGAAACATTTGAAGAAAATAGATAATGTCGTCTACAAACAAATATAATAAAAATGTGTCAAGTTCAATAACCTCATATAACTAGAATAGTTTACAGCAGTGAGCTCTGTGTACTTTGTTCTTTGCCTTACCTACATGGTGGCGGAATTCGCAGATTAAAATCACACATATCAAATTAACCCTATTAATGCGCAGGAAATACTGATAAAGTAGCTCCTATCACATCACCAATAACAACATATAGTATGTATAACGTTAACATTAAAGCATTAAAGTGTTATTAAACCCTCCGGTGATTTTGCATATATCTAGTGCTAGCAAGCAGTAGATATATGCAAAAAAAAAAAAACACTTTAAAAGCAGTTTAAACTTACCCGTGTCTTCCATGCGCGCTCCCGTCCGAAAATGTGAAATTCTCCGGCGGCTGCAAAGCATCTTGGGGCGGGCACATGCTCAGTTCACATTTTCGGCCGGGAGACGAGGAGAGGCACAAGGTAAGTCTATGGACGCGTGCACCCACACAGACTCCGTGGGACAGGAAGTGCCAGCAAGCACAGAGGAGTCAGCGCTGGATTGGAGACCCTCAGCAGTGCTGGAGGGACAGATGAAAAGGACAGGAAAGAAGATCGGATTAAGAAACATAATTTAAAAGGAGAACTATGGGGTTAGGGCTTTTCCCCATAGTTCTCCTTAGGGTAACGGGAGTACACAAACTAGCGTCCTCTCCTCACCCTAGGCTCAGTATACCGCTCGCGGTATACCGCTAGCTGCTGCTCGCGGTATACTGAGACGCCGCAGCTGAAGCGGATCCAGACAATTGTGCCGGGATCCGCCCAGCTGCGTGACTGACAGCTGGCTCTGCCTATCTAGAGGCAGAGCCAGCTGTACCCGCCCCCTTCCCTGTCCGTTCCGCCAGTCAGTGCTGGCGGATCGGGGAGGGGGGGAATCCAGCCCCTCAACTGTCACGGGCAGAGAGCCGTGACAGGATCGAGAGGTGAGCGAACGCTGGTATGTGTTCCTCACCTCCCGATCTACTGAGCCGACCTGTGACAGTCTCATTGTCACAGGTCGGCTAGAACTATGAGGTGAGTGAAAAGCACTCACCTCATAGTTCTCCTTTAAGGTAAGTGCTTTCACTAACATTGGAGGGAGGGAAAAATATCTTTGACTTTAATGTCACTTTAAAGCAGAAGTCAAGTGAAATCGCTAAATTCACAGATGAAATATCATGTTACCTGACAAATGTGTAATTTTGTTCAGCTATATTTTTAAACCAATCAACTTGGTTCTGACCTCTGCTCGAAATTCTGCGGGTGGCCCTGCTGGCACCACCCGCCTCAAATGTTCAATTAGCTGAAGTCACTGTTCGAGGATTCTGACAGCTGGTGTGTACTGGCTATCCAAATTCAATAGCCGGCAAGGAAGATTGCTCCATTCATGCCGTTTAGCAGTGTACGTGCATGGCCATCTTATGTCATTCCTCTTCTCCCGTCAGCCAGCTCATTATGTACAGTTTTTTTTAAAAATTGTGCACTTTAAAGATATCAGACAGGGAACTACATGAGGCTAGTATTGGGGCAGTCTATGGTTGCCACACATAACTGGGGTCAGGGTATTTTGTATTTACGCGCATGACTTCTGTATAAATTATATGCTATTTATTATTAACACTAAACTAATACTGGGTAGGGTCTCCCATTGCTCTTAAATATTGATGGAAACAACCATTCCTTTAAGATTCTTGCCTAGTACACAATTTTCTTTACAAATTTGTCAGCTGCACATCTCCCTTTCTACATCATCCCAAAGGCCGGACTCCGATCTGGCGATTGGCCTTGTAACCCTGTGGTTCAACAAGGTTGTAGCTCACCTGCCTCAAGGTTGGATGCATCTTGCATTCTGAGACACTTTTCTGCTCACCACCATAATATAGAATGGACACCTGGCTTACTGTAGCTTTTATGTCAGCTGGAACCAATCTGGCCACTCTCCTCTGGCCTCAACAAGGTGTTTCTGTCCACAATCCACCGCTTAATGGATGTTTTCTTGGATCTTTGTCAGCAAACTTTATTGTGCATGAAAATCTCAGGAGACCAGTTACAGAAATACCTAAACCAGCCTGTTTGGCACCAATCATGCCATGGTGAAAATCTCTGAGTTCACGTTATTTCTCATTGTGTTCGATGTGAACATTAACTTAAGCTCCTGACCTGTATCTACACTGCGCTGCTGTGACACGATTGGACAATTAGAAAACTGCATGAACAAGCAGGTGTAACTAATATGTTGCTGGGAGTAAATTTATTAGATAACTACTGTAAGAATTCAGTTTTCATCTTTGTAATCCTTTACCACACAAATGGAACGATAGTTAAAAACGTCCAGTCTAGGAGCCTAACTAATTGAGCTGCTTTGTGAAAACTTCAGCTTTTAATGTAATTCTAGCCAGACACATCTTGTAGCCACTTCTTTTACCTGGTTTACCTGGAGTACAACTTGCATAGCAGCTTCGCGGCACAGTGCAGTGAGGTCGGCCCCTACATAACCCACCGTCATGTCAGCCAGGACACCAATATCCACATCACAGCTCACAGGCATATTAGATATGAGTACTTCAAGAATAGCTCTTCTCTGGCAAAGTGTGGGGGTTCCAATAACAACCTGCAGGGCAAAAACAACTCTGTTAGGTTAAAAGGATTGATCAGAAAAAAAACAATATTTAACACCACTCAATGAGAAGTAATATAGAAAAAACCTAAATAAACCCAAATGGTGGAGCACAGCTGTGCAAAGTCAACACCAGGTAACTAAATACTGCCACTTTACCATGACATTTATCACTGCTGGATTATCTGATTTAAAAGCCGAGGTCTAATCTGCTTCAATTTTTACCTTCCCTGATTCCTCCCCTCCACATGCAAACATTGTTTTAACCACTTAAGGACTTTAAAATATAGAAGAAACATCCTAAAAAGCTTCAACAAAGTCTTCTAGGATGTATCTCCTGTGTTCTCCTTTCTGAATCATGTCAACTACAAATTTCAAAAAGCTACTCGAAGGTCACAGAGAGCTTTGCAAATGCTTTGTACAGGCTTGCTGTGCACACTACTTTTCAGACTAGTACTTACAAACTGAAATCGTATGTAAAAAATGCCTAATGATTAGTTATATAATGAATGTATTTACCTCCCTGTCAAATCTCCCTGGTCGTCTCAGCGCTGCATCTATGGCATCAGGATGGTTAGAGGCAGCAACAATAACCATTTTGTTATCACTGTGAATCCCGTCCATGAGTGTCAAAAGCTGAGCAACTATGCGGTTTTCAGGAGCATTATTGGAGCCCCCACGTTTAGGACACAGGGACTCAATTTCATCAATAAACAGGACGCATGGACCGCCACGAGAAACCTCTCTGGCTTTCTCAAAATGCTTTCTTAAATTCTCCTCACTCTCTCCGGGTCTTGATCCATGAATTGCGGGCCCACTCAGGCTAATTAGATAAGCACCGACTTGTCTTGCGACAGCTTTTACTAGAAGCGTTTTTCCAACTCCAGGAGGACCAACTAAGAGAAGACCTTTGGGACACGATAAACCTAGTTTAGTTAAGGTCTTTTGGTAATGAAAAGGTAGATTGATGATCTCACAGAGAGAGGCACATACTTCATCCATACCAGCAACCTTGTACTGAGGAGTGCTGTCAGCTATGTGTTTGTACCACTCCAGTGTTATGGCTTCTTTAATGTTCAAGCTTGTCTTTGCAGTAATTAAACCAGCACTACCAGTTATAGGGTCCATGTCAATGATATCCACAATCACAACCGGTGAATCGTTGGTCAGTCTTACTACATAATGAGGTAACACATGCACATTTCTTAGCAAGTCTCTCACTACCTCATGGAGCAATGTATCCGATAAAGCAGACTTCACTTCCATGTCCTTCAGGACCACTTTTACGGTCACCCTTTTCAACTTGATAGGATTTAAAACTTTCAAACAACTTAAACAAACAACTGGATCTGTATAGTCTATGGTAGGTTTTGGCATTGTAGAGCACATGGCGTCAGCTTGCAGAAAGCCATCAGAAAGGTCCTTCCTTGGCCAAGCTGTGCACAGACAGTTACCCCTTGGTAATGATATCAGGATGGGGTAACCTATTTTAACTCCTAGATGAGACATAACTTTAGGTCCCAATCTACATCTCTGTGATCCATGGTCTTCATAGTTTAGTGGCAAAAGCTTAAGCTCTGTGTCCATCTGTAACAAAAACAACATGACAGTCAATTAAATGGATAACAGCGTGTGATTGTAGTCTACGTATAGCCATATTTTTGGATAAAGTGGCAAAGGGTTAGAACCTCGCTCTGTTTTTGATTGCTAAACAGATTGCATCTGAGGTCGTGCATCCATCCCTGTTCAGATTTAAAGTATGAATCTGCATCCCGCAAGTGCATGTGAACAGCCACTGCATCTGCCAGCCTGTCATTGCCACTGCTGGCCACAGCTGCAACTCCGGGGCACATAAACACATGCACGTTTGGCAAGCTGTAGCAATATCAAGAAGACCTAAGCCCTCATTCACACTATAAACAGCCGGGCACGTACAGCTCAATGCTGCGTGCACAGCCGCATCGGGCAGCTCCCGGGAAGGACAGGTGCTGCGTGTGATTAGTACGCAACCCCCTTGGGACTACGCGGCCATACGCCCCTGTGCTCACTTCAAGTACAGCTCCGTGCAGGTGCGTGTTTCCTGGCTTGGACGCAGACAGGATCCATCCTGTCAGCGTACGAGTACGCTCACCCGCATGGACGTGCAGGGCGGGTGAGCATAGGGCAGCGTAGTCCCATAGAGAAGGACAGGGGCTGCATATTAATCACACGCAGCACCTGTCCTTCCCGGGAGCTACCCGATGCGGCCGTGCACGCAGCACGGAGCTGTACGTGCCGGCTGTTTCTAGTGTGAATGACGGCTAATGCTCAATAAACATGCAAACACACCAGTGAATCCAGCGTTGTTCCGCTCTAATCTGCGGATCCATCCAGTCCTGCACCACCATTTCTATTTATGTCACCAGCATGATGAGGCTGGGCTTGGTGCAAACCCAGTCCACCCATGTCTGCTCAAAACTGTGACCACTAACTACACCTCCCTCCCAACCCAATCAGTTGCGGAGAGTCACATTTCCATTGTATGTCTATTTAATGGTGTTTGTACTTTTGTGTTCTGTCATTCTGAGCCTGATGAAGGGAACCCTGCGAGGCCCCAAAAGCACTTGCAATGGAATTTCAAGTCTTCATTAAATTGACTTTTGCTGATAACTTGAAGGGTGTGCTGACGACATCCTTTACATCTGTATACTTTTCACAGCGCCATCCGTGGTCACTACAAGCACCCACCTGTATTTACAGGATAACTACAGATCCGGAAAGGAGTGCAGCAAGATACACTGACTTATCACATTTAGGTCCAGGGGCGCAAATGAAAAAGAAATATATACTTACCTGATCCTCGGTCCCATCTGGCTGCCTGACCGGTCCACCCGGGTCTCCAGCGGCTTAAGCCCCACTTTTGTCATATGCAGGTCCATTCACCTGCAACAGACATGAGGACTTTGGGGAACATGCCAGAGCAGAGGGGGCAGAGAGGCGAGTGCCAGCTGCCACAGGGCAGAGGATCAAGTGAGTGTATCTTCTTTATTGCACTCCCTAGACCAGTGGTGGGCAACTCCACCCTCCAGCTGTTTTGGAACTACAAGTCCCTTGAGGCATTGCAAGACATTGCAAGACAGACAATAAAATACATGACATGGGATTGTTTTAAAAACACACTACATACTGCTACTTCAAAGTGTATACCTTTAGGGAGCAAAATGGGCCAGAGTTGCCCAACCTTGCCCTAGACCAAAACGACCAGTTAACCCTTGCAGCATGGGGGCTTTTTAAATAACTGGAGTTCTTCTTTAAGTTGTGAAGCTCTGTACCTTTTTTCCTGCCACTGTGTACATGCTGCAACTAGGAGGGGCCTGCCAATTCTATAAAAAGCACAACAATGACACCCTGCATTGAGCTGAGGTCAACATAAAGATGTTATAAGCAAATCACTGTTTATAAGCCTAGAGAAGCGTTAAATCAGCTCTAGCATACCATATACTGCTGCACACGTGTTCCTCCACCATCACTTCCTGGTCACATGACAAGAGACATCACCGCACTGTGCATGCTGGGAGATGTAGTTTTATCTGTCCGATTCGATGGAGGTCCCAGGAGAGTTATAAGCTCATAGTTCCGTCATCTCATGAAGAATCCTGGCTCGTAGGATGTCAAGTCTTTCAGTCTCTTATTATACAACAATACATTATGTGCGCTATTGATATAAACATCAAAGCATTTGGGATGTGTTTTGTTCTTTTAAAGTGGGCTTTTTTTTCTGTCTGGATTTCTGTGAGTGTAAAGTTACTTTATGACTAGCAGGGGGCAGCATCATCCAATAACAATAACACACTCATAAAGACTGGGGCTAAGCTTTACAGGAAGACTTTTCTTAGATCTCTGACAAGTGGAGTACAGAGCCCCAGATTCATGACCTTTGTCAGGCTGTCTGAAATGGACCGAACTGGTGCAACTAGTTACAAATAAAAGTGGGATATCTGCATATAAAATAGTCCCGTTACAAAAATTGTTTTATAATTGTCAGGACAAAGGATTTGATAAAATGTAGAACATAAAGAAATATGTGATTTTATAACAAGTTGTAGAACCAAATTATTACAAATGAAGCATTAAACAAAGCCAGCATGTTCATATTCATCTTTCAAAGTTCAATATTCACTTTGTAATTACTACATTAAGCTGGTAAGCGTGGCTGTGTGTTATCACAGGCTCATGTTGGTCAAACCAGACTCCAGTTTCCTAATAAATGTCCAAACAGCTTTGTAAATCTCACTTTAGGCTACAAAGAGAGACCTCCGCCGCTCCCTCCACATCACAGTTCCATTGCTTGGGTTCATCGCAGGTGCCGTCCGAAGAACTGGCCATACGCCAGAGCAAAGCCAATCCAAAAAGACAGCCTCACACTCTCAATCTTCACGCAGAACTTCTTTATTTGTAAAGTCCTGTCAACTCCAATCTTGTGTTTCCTGCCTGATGGTCGCTCAGGCTTAGTTGCAGAGTAGTGAGTGAACATGGGAAGGATCTCTTATTTCTATGCTTCACAGATGAATGAACTTCAGGATAATCACCTCGTATGCCCTAGCCGGCCAAGCACACAATCACTGAAACAGTACATTTCCCTCACAGAGAACATTTCCCACACACGGTGCCCTATAAATAGTTATATAATTATTTTGACGTAGTATCACAGAGAAAATGAATGCGTTGCATTCACCAGTGTCCCCGTACTAAAAAGTAAAAATACAATGACATTCAAATGTTACAATGAATACAGCAAAATAGATACATTCAAGATCAGTATATTCATTAGTGTGCCCACACACCTTAGGATAATCATACGATAATCGCGGGAAATCCCGTAAGGTGTGTGGAAGCCCTGCGACCTCTACTACTGTAAGGTCGCACGACTTTTAACTTACGAACATGTTCGAAAACCCGCCGAGCATCGTACCATGTTCGGCGGGTGTGTAGCATGTTCGTAAGATAAAAGCCGGACGGGCCGGTATGCGCAAGCGCACACTACCCGTTCGTCATTGAGGTCATCGGAAGCCCGCCCCTCAGGGGGGCGCGGCTTGCGATCATCGCAAGTACGATCTGCCTGTCCGAGATAGGCAGACCGTACGTTTTGTAAACTACCTTACAACCATCACAAGACAAAAGTCTTGCGATGGTTGTAAGGTGTGTGCCCAGCATTACTCTCCAGGTATTACTACATTGTTTCCTACGTGTGGGTACATCTTATACAGCTCTATGGCACTTCATATATTCACTGGCTAACTGAATATATTTTGGAATGCAAGCTTTGTCTATAGAAGAAAACTGAGCCAAAATATATTCAGTTTAATTAGAATGAACCCATACAGTATCAGCCCATCCTCTGCATTGTAGACACCTTTCCCCTGACGCGTTCACCATCCCTGTGGAATGCCTTGTCTTTCCACATGTGGGGGCGCATGCAGTAAATCTCACAGGTTAGAAGGAGAGAGAAAAGTGTTGAGAGCTATCCTCAGGGATTCTGTTGTTTACTCTAAGGATGAATTGCTTCATATTGGTTGTAACTACAGAGGTCAGTGAGGGCTTGTGTACGGCTTGTTAAGAATCCGTAAGTATTTGAATGTCTTTAGCCTGGCCATGATTCAACTTAAAAATTTAACCTTAGGCTGGGTTCACACTTGGGCGTTCGTAATATGCGTGTTTGACGCGCGTTTCGGACCGCACGTTTTTACCGCGATTTGCGGTCAACACAACGCGCGACAGATGCGCGTTTACGAGGGCTATCCAGCTGTATCCTAATAGATACGCGCGGAAAATACGCCCCAAAGAAGCTCCTGTACTTCTTTGGGCACAGGGCATTTTTCAACGCGTTCCTACGCGCTGAAATGCGCCGAGGTGGGAACCATGCCCATAGGAAATAATGGGATTTCACTTGTTGGGCGTTTTACAACGCGTAGATCAGCGCTGTAAAATGCACAGGTGTGAACCAGGCCTTAAAGTTGTACTTTCAACACACATTCATTGTTTTTTGTATCTCTCCTTGTGCTTTGAGAGTGTGGTCACAGGTCCAGGAGTAAACTGTTAGACCCCATTCACCCTTGTGGATGGAGCTGGATCACTGAGTATCATGAATTCCTCTGTGAGACACGTGATTTGTACAATTCAAAGACTGCTGCCATCGCCCGTAGCTGTTCACAGGGCATTCGCCTGTTACCACACAGCTGCGATTACCTGTGGCTGATCACACACGTCTCACTAATAACTCTGGAAGACTCAAGCAATCTGTTGCAGGTAGGAGATGCTGTACAATACATTGACAGCTATTACCACCCGTAGCTGTTCACATGTAATCGCACATGATGTGATTACCTGCACATGATCAACCCACCCTGCATAGTAAGGGCTAGTTCACACCAAGCGCGGAGCAGATCCAGAGCAGAGCAGGTGCAGACCGGATCAAAACTGCGTCCAATGTATTCCTATGGTATTTTGAGCTCCAGTTCACATCGCAGCGTGCAGATCCAGAACAGGTAAAAAAACTGCAGCAGGCCCTATTTTACCTGCTCTGGATCTGCAAACGCATCAAAAACGCATGCAAATGCCTAGAACGCACTGAAAGCCCATGTTAAACTAAAAAGCGCATCTAAAACGCATCTAAAAGACTAGCGTCCTGTGCAGAAACCTGACCGGATCTGCTCTGCATTTGGTGTGAACAAGGCCTAAATGTAGAAAACAACTTACCGCCCAGCGACACCCGGAACTACATGTTCCGGGCATCGGGGATTCCACACCGCTGCCGCCCCATCAGCTCTCTGCCGCCCAGACCAGGACCGGATTGTGGGGAATCCGGTCCTGGTCATACCCTCTGCACTCCCCTCATACACATACTGCCCTATGTCAGACCCTCTGCACTTCCCTCATAAACATACTGCCTTATGTCATACCCTCTGCACCCCCCTCATGCACATACTGTCTTCTGTCATATCTTCCACACTTCTCTCCTACATATAACATCTTCAGTCATATCCATTACACTCCTCTCCTGCACATACTACACATTGCCATACCCTCTGCACTCTTTCCCTGTACATACTCTCCACCAACATACTCTCTGCATTCCTCTCCTGCATATACTACAGCTGTCATACCTTCCGCACTCTTTTCCTGCACAAGCTACTGCCAATATACCCTCTGCATCCCTCTCCTGCACATACTACCATCTTCATACTCTCTGCACTCCTCTCCTGCACATACTACCATCATGGTACTCTTTGCACCCCTCTCTTGCACATACTACCATCATGGTACTCTTTGCACCCCTCTCTTGCACATACTACCATCATGGTACTCTTTGCACCCCTCTCTTGCACATACTACCATCATGGTACTCTTTGCACCCCTCTCTTGCACATACTACCATCATGGTACTCTTTGCACCCCTCTCTTGCACATACTACCATCATGGTACTCTTTGCACCCCTCTCTTGCACATACTACCATCATGGTACTCTTTGCACCCCTCTCTTGCACATACTACCATCATGGTACTCTTTGCACCCCTCTCTTGCACATACTACCATCATGGTACTCTTTGCACCCCTCTCTTGCACATACTACCATCATGGTACTCTTTGCACCCCTCTCTTGCACATACTACCATCATGGTACTCTTTGCACCCCTCTCTTGCACATACTACCATCATGGTACTCTTTGCACCCCTCTCTTGCACATACTACCATCATGGTACTCTTTGCACCCCTCTCTTGCACATACTACCATCATGGTACTCTTTGCACCCCTCTCTTGCACATACTACCATCATGGTACTCTTTGCACCCCTCTCTTGCACATACTACCATCATGGTACTCTTTGCACCCCTCTCTTGCACATACTACCATCATGGTACTCTTTGCACCCCTCTCTTGCACATACTACCATCGTCATACTCTCTGCACCCCTCTCCTGCACATACTACCATCATAATACTCTGTGCACTCCTCTCCTGCACACACTACCATTTTCATACCCTCTGCACCCCTCTCCTGCACATACTACAACTGTCTTACTCTCTGCACTCTTCTCCTGCACATACTACCATTGTCATGCCCTCTGCTCCCCTCTCCTGCACATACTACCATCGTCAAACACTCTGCATCACTCTCTTGCACATACTACCATCGTCATACTCTCTGCACTCCTCTCCTACACATACTACCATCACCATATTCTCTGCACTTTTCTCCAGCACATACTACCATTGTCATGCCCTCTGCACCCCTCTCCTGCACATACTACCATCATTGTACTCTATGCACCCTTCTCCTGCACATACTACTATTGTCATACTCTCTGCACTCCTCTCCTGCACATAATACCATCGTCATACCTTCTGCATCCCTCTCCTGCATTTACAACCACTGTCATATCTTGTGCACTCCCTCCTGCACATGCTGCCGGCTATCTTATGCTCCACACCCCTCCCCTGCACATACTGCCTTTCATCATATGCTTCATACTG